CCCTCACAAAGACCCAGCTCTGAACCAAGCGAGAGTCCAAGTGATGCGCCCAGTACTGTCCCCAGTGAATCTCCAACATCCAGTCCTCAGCCGAGTGGTATGCCAAGCACTACTCCAACAGAGAGCCAGGCACCCAGTGAGAGCCCAAGTGATGACCCAAGTTCCAGCCCAAGCGGACTCCAAGTACCCCAAGTACTACTCCAAGTTCCCCAAGCAAGACCCCCAGTAGCAGCCCAAGTGAGCTACCCAGTGAAAGACCCAGTGTTAGCCCCAGTGTATCCCCAGCGAGGCACCCAGTAGGACACCAAGCTCTTTACCAAGCATTAGTCCCAGCACTTCCCCAGTGAATCCCCAGTTCTGCTCCAAGTGCTCTGCCCAGCACACACCAAGTGTTTCCCAGCACCACCAAGTGTATCTCCAAGTAGCTCCCCGTTTGGTACCAAGTTCATTTCCAAGTGCCAGCCCAAGCTCTGACCCAAGTGAGATCCCTAGTCTTTCCCCAGTGAATCTCCCAGCAGCAGTCCCAGTGAGATTCCATCGGCACCCCAAGCATCAGTCCCAGTATCAGTCCCAGTCAAAGTCCATCAGTGACCCCAGTGCATCTCCCAGTGCAGTCCAAGTCTGATCCTTCCCAATCACCCAGTGCCTCTCCAGCCCAATCCTAGCACTGACCCTCAGAGTCACCAAGTGAAACCCCTAGCACCACCCCAAGTGTGGATCCTAGTCCTCTCCGAGTGTTTCTCCAAGCAGCCAACCGAGTGCGCTCCCCAGTGCTGAACCAAGTGTGGTGCCAAGTGCCAGTCCAGCACTACCCCAAGTGTTACACCAAGGCATCTCCCAGCTCAATCCCAAGGTCTACCGAGTTCCACCCCCAGCACTACCCCAAGCGACACTCCCAGTTCCGTCCCAGTGCTGCTCCCAGTACACACCAAGCCGCAGCCCCAGTGTAGCCCCCAGTACTGAACCAGTGTATCCCTAGTTCCAGCCCAAGCGAATCGCCAAGCTCTGACCCCAGTGTTTTTCCCAGTGCTAGCCCAAGCTATTCACCGAGTAATGAACCCAGTTCTCAGCCAAGCAAGCCCAAGTACCTCGCCTAGCGAGAGTCCAAGTAGGTCCCCAGTGAATTGCCAAGCGTGACCCCAAGCACCAGCCCAAGTCTTTTACCAAGTTTCAGTCCAGTGAGACACCAAGCAAAGCCCCAGGTCAGTCCAAGTGAACACCAAGTAGAAGCCCCAGTGCCAGTCCAAGCGAGACCCCCAGCACTGACCCAGTGCCAGTCCAAGGAGACCCCAAGCATTGACCCCAGTACCAGCCCAGCGAGACACCAAGCACGCCCAGTGCAGTTCAAGTGAACACCAAGCCGCAGCCCAGTGCAAGCCCCAGTGACACCCAGCACCCGCCCTAGTCTAGTCCCAGTGAGACACCCAGCAGAAGCCCCAGCAGCAGCCAAGCGCTTCTCCTTCTTCCACTCCGTCATCTGTCCCTCACAAAGACCCAGCTCTGAACCAAGCGAGAGTCCAAGTGATGCGCCAGTACTGTCCCCAGTATCTCCAACATCCAGTCCTCACCGAGTGGTTGCCAAGCCTACTCCACGAGAGCCAGGCACCCAGTGAGAGCCCAAGTGATGACCCAAGTTCCAGCCAAGCGTGACTCCAAGTGCCACCCATACTACTCCAAGTCGTTCCCCAAGCAAGACCCCCAGTAGCACCAAGTGAGCTACCCAGTGAAGAACCCAGTGTTAGCCCCAGTGTACCCCAGCGAGGCCCCAGTAGGACACCAAGCTCTTTACCAAGCATTAGTCCCAGCACTTCCCAGTGATCCCAGTTCTGCTCCAAGTGCTCTGCCCAGCACCACCAAGTGTTTCTCCCAGCACCACACAGTGTATCTCCATATCCCAGGTACAATTCATTGCAAGCCAGCCCAAGCTCTGACCCAGTGATCCTATCCCAGTTCCCCAGCCCATGAGATTCCATCGGCCACCCCAGCAGTATCAGTCCCAGTCAAAGTCCATCAGTGACCCCAAGTGCATCTCCCAGTGCCAGTCCAAGTACTGATCCTTCCCAATCACCCAGTGCCTCTCCTAGCACCAATCCTAGCACTGACCCTTCAGAGTCACCAAGTGAATCCCCTAGCACCACCCCAAGTGTGGATCCTAGCTCCTCTCCGAGTGTTTCTCCAAGCAGCCAACCGAGTGCGCTCCCCAGTGCTGAACCAAGTGTGGTGCCAAGTGCCAGTCCCAGCACTACCCCAAGTGTTACACCAAGTGCATCTCCCAGCTCAATCCCAAGTAGTCTACCGAGTTCCACCCCCAGCACTACCCCAAGCGACACTCCCAGTTCCAGTCCCAGTGCTGCTCCTAGTACAACACCAAGCCGCAGCCCCAGTGTAGCCCCAGTACTGAACCCAGTGTATCGCCTAGTTCCAGCCCAAGCGAATCCCAAGCTTGACCCCAGTCCCATGCTCCCAAGTATTCCCGAGTAAGAACCCAGTTCAGCCAAGCACGAGCCCAAGTACCTCGCCTAGCGAGAGTCCAAGTAGGCCCAAGTGAATTGCAGCGTGACCCCAAGCACCAGCCCAAGTCTTTTACCAAGTTTCAGTCCAGTGAGCACCAGCAGAAGCCCCAGTGTCAGTCCCAGTGAGACACCAAGTAGAAGCCCAGTGTCAGTCCAAGTGACACCAAGTAGAAGCCCCAGTGCCGTCCAGCGAACCCCAGCACTGACCCAGTGCCAGTCCAAGGAGACCCCAAGCATTGACCCCAGTACCAGCCCAGCGAGACACCAAGCACCAGTCCCAGTGCAGTTCCAAGTGATACACCAAGCCGCAGCCCCAGTGCAAGCCCCAGTGAGACACCAGCACCCGCCCTAGTGCTAGTCCCAGTGAGACACCCAGCAGAAGCCCCAGCAGCAGACCAAGCGCTTCTCCTTCTTCCACTCCGTCATCTAGTCCCTCACAAGACCCAGCCTGAACCAAGGAGAGTCCAAGTGATGCGCCCAGTACTGTCCCCAGTGAATCTCCAACATCCAGTCCTCAGCCGAGTGGTATGCCAAGCACTACTCCAACAGAGAGCCAGGCACCCAGTGAGAGCCCAAGTGATGACCCAAGTTCCAGCCAAGCGTGACTCCAAGTGCCACCCCAAGTACTACTCAAGTCGTTCCCCAAGCAAGACCCCCAGTAGCAGCCCAGTGAGCTACCCAGTGAAGAACCAGTGTTAGCCCCAGTGTATCCCCCAGCGAGGCACCCAGTAGGACACCAAGCCTTTACCAAGCATTAGTCCCAGCACTTCCCCAGTGAATCCCAGTTCTGCTCCAAGTGCTCTGCCCAGCACACCCAAGTGTTTTCCCAGCACCACACCAAGTGTATCTCCAAGTAGCTCCCCAGTTTGGTACCAAGTTATTGCCAAGTGCCAGCCCAAGCTCGACCCAAGTGAGATCCCTAGTTCTTTCCCCAGTGAATCTCCCAGCAGCAGTCCCAGTGAGATTCCATCGGCCACCCCAAGCATCAGTCCCAGTATCAGTCCCAGTCAAAGTCCATCAGTGACCCAAGTGCATCTCCCAGTGCCAGTCCAAGTACTGATCCTTCCCAATCACCCAGTGCCTCTCCTAGCCCAATCCTAGCACTGACCCTCAGAGTCACCAAGTGAATCCCCTAGCACCACCCCAAGTGTGGATCCTAGCTCCTCTCCGAGTGTTTCTCCAAGCAGCCAACCGAGTGCGCTCCCCAGTGCTGAACCAAGTGGGTGCCAAGTGCCAGTCCCAGCACTACCCAAGTGTTACACCAAGTGCATCTCCCAGCTCAATCCCAAGTAGTCTACCGAGTTCCACCCCCAGCACTACCCCAAGCGACATCCCAGTTCCAGTCCCAGTGCTGCTCCAGTACAACACCAAGCCGCAGCCCCAGTGTAGCCCCCAGTACTGAACCCAGTGTATCGCCTAGTTCCAGCCCAAGCGAATCGCCAAGCTCTGACCCCAGTGTTTTGCCTAGTGCTAGCCCAAGCTATTCACCGAGTAATGAACCCAGTTCTCAGCCAAGCACGAGCCCAAGTACCTCGCCTAGCGAGAGTCCAAGTAGGTCCCCAAGTGAATTGCCAAGCGTGACCCCAAGCACCAGCCCAAGTCTTTTACCAAGTTTCAGTCCCAGTGAGACACCAAGCAGAAGCCCCGGTCAGTCCAGGACACCAAGTAGAAGCCCCAGTGTCAGTCCAAGGAGACACCAAGTAGAAGCCCAGTGCCAGTCCAAGCGAGACCCCAGCACTGACCCATGCGTCCAAGCGAGACCCAAGCATTGACCCCAGTACCAGCCCCAGCGAGACACCAAGCACCAGTCCCAGTGCAGTTCCAAGTGATACCCAAGCCGCAGCCGTGCAACCCAGTGAGCACCCAGCACCCGCCCTAGTGCTAGTCCCAGTACACCCAGCAGAAGCCCCAGCAGCAGCCAAGCACTCCACCTAGTCTCATGCCAAGTGAATCACCCAGCAGAACTCCAAGCAGCCGTCCAAGTGCCACCCCAAGTGGAACACCCAGTACTTACCCAAGCAGAAGCCCAAGTTCTACTCCATCCATCATTCCATCATCTAGTCCGTCTCTGAGACCTTCATTGGAGCACAAGTGTATCTCCCCGGTTAACAGCAAAGGAAAGTACTGCCGTGCCCTCATGACCAGTACAATGGATCCTGTCGGCAGTGTTTGCATCGAAGTATTGGAGAACCCAACGCAACTGGAAATCACTGTTGCTGCCAAGGATGACTACAGCCTTGTTAAGAGTTCTCTGTGGGTTGGCGAGGATGCCAGTCTGATACCGGAGGATGACACTGGCATTCCAGACTATCCCAACTTCCCTTACACTTGACCAACACCAATGAAGAAACCTCTTGGAAATCACTTGTCCTGGTCAACAGATCAAGTACATGCAATGTGGACATGACAGACTTTGTTTGACTGTGGTTTCGCAAGTCACAGTTGAGCAATCAGACGGCCAAGAGGTCGACGCTTATGCAGTGGAGAATGACTTTGATGGAACAGACCTCTACAGTGGAACCAGTCTATGGTGAATGTGAATGCGTGAAGGAAGTAGTGGAAGAGAAGTGCATCTCACCAATTGACAACGAAGGAAAGTACTGCCGTGCCCTCATGACCAGTACAATGGATCCTGTCGGCAGTGTTTGCATCGAAGTATTGGAGAACCCAATGCAACTGGAAATCACTGTTACTGCCAAGGATGACTACAGCCTTGTTAAGAGTTCTCTGTGGGTTGGCGAGGATGCCAGTCTGATACCGGAGGATGACACTGGCATTCCAGATTATCCCAACTTCCCTTACACTTGGACCAACACCAATGAAGAAACCTTGGAAATCACTTGTCCTGGTCAACAGATCAAGTACATGCAATGTGGACATGACAGACTTTGGTTTGACTGTGGTTTCGCAAGTCACAGTTGAGCAATCAGACGGCCAAGAGGTCGACGCTTATGCAGTGGAGAATGACTTTGATGGAACAGACCTCTACAGTGGAACCAGTCTAATGGTGGAATGTGAATGCGTGAAGGAAGTAGTGGAAGAGAAGTGCATCTCACAATTGACAACGAAGGAAAGTACTGCCGTGCCCTCATGACAGTACAATGGATCCTGTCGGCAGTGTTTGCATCGAAGTATTGGAGAACCCAATGCAACTGGAAATCACTGTTACTGCCAAGGATGACTACAGCCTTGTTAAGAGTTCTCTGTGGGTTGGCGAGGACGCCAGTCTGATACCGGAGGATGACACTGGCATTCCAGACTATCCCAACTTCCCTTACACTTGGACCAACACCAATGAAGAAACTCTTGGAAATCACTTGTCCTGGTCAACAGATCAAGTAATGCAATGTGGACATGACAGAGTTTGGTTTGACTGTGGTTTCGCAAGTACAGTTGAGCAATCAGACGGCAAGAGGTCGACGCTTATGCAGGGAGAATGACTTTGATGGAACAGACTCTACAGTGGAACCAGTCTAATGGTTGAATGTGAATGCGTGAAGGAAGTAGTGGAAGAGAAGTGCATCCACCAATTGACAACGAAGAAAGTACTGCCGTGCCCTCATGACCAGTACAATGGATCCTGTCGGCAGTGTTTGCATCGAAGTATTGGAGAACCCAATGCAACTGGAAATCACTGTTACTGCCAAGGATGACTACAGCCTTGTTAAGAGTTCTCTGTGGGTTGGCGAGGATGCTAGTCTGATACCGGAGGATGACACTGGCATTCCAGATTATCCCAACTTCCCTTACACTTGGACCAACACCAATGAAGAAACCTCTTGGAAATCACTTGTCCTGGTCAACAGATCAAGTAAATGCAATGTGGACATGACAGACTTTGTTTGACTGTGGTTTCGCAAGTCACAGTTGAGCAATCAGACGGCAAGAGGTCGACGCTTATGCAGGGAGAATGACTTTGATGGAACAGACCTCTACAGTGGAACCAGTCTAATGGTTGAATGTGAATGCGTGAAGGAAGTAGTGGAAGAGAAGTGCATCTCACCAATTGACAACGAAGAAAGTACTGCCGTGCCCTCATGACCAGTAAATGGATCCTGTCGGCAGTGTTTGCATCGAAGTATTGGAGAACCCAATGCAACTGAAATCACTGTTTGCCAAGGATGACTACAGCTTGTTAAGAGTTCTCTGTGGGTTGGCGAGGATGCCAGTCTGATACCGGAGGATGACACTGGCATTCCAGAACTATCCCAACTTCCCTTACACTTGGACCAACACCAATGAAGAAACCTCTTGGAAATCACTTGTCCTGGTCAACAGATCAAGTACATGCAATGTGGACATGACAGACTTTGGTTTGACTGTGGTTTCGCAAGTCACAGTTGAGCAATCAGACGGCCAAGAGGTCGACGCTTATGCAGTGGAGAATGACTTTGATGGAACAGACCTCTACAGTGGAACCAGTCTAATGGTGGAATGTGAATGCGTGAAGGAAGTAGTGGAAGAGAAGTGCATCTCACCAATTGACAACGAAGAAAGTACTGCCGTGCCCTCATGACCAGTAAATGGATCCTGTCGGCAGTGTTTGCATCGAAGTATTGGAGAACCCAATGCAACTGGAAATCACTGTTACTGCCAAGGATGACTACAGCCTTGTTAAGAGTTCTCTGTGGGTTGGCGAGGATGCCAGTCTGATACCGGAGGATGACACTGGCATTCCAGATTATCCCAACTTCCCTTACACTTGTACCAACACCAATGAAGAAACCTCTTGGAAATCACTTGTCCTGGTCAACAGATCAAGTACATGCAATGTGGACATGACAGACTTTGGTTTGACTGTGGTTTCGCAAGTCACAGTTGAGCAATCAGACGGCCAAGAGGTCGACGCTTATGCAGTGGAGAATGACTTTGATGGAACAGACCTCTACAGTGGAACCAGTCTAATGGTGGAATGGAATGCGTGAAGGAAGTAGTGAAGAGAAGTGCATCTCACAATTGACAACGAAGGAAAGTACTGCCGTGCCCTCATGACCAGTACAATGGATCCTGTCGCAGTGTTTGCATCGAAGTATTGGAGAACCCAATGCAACTGGAAATCACTGTTACTGCCAAGGATGACTACAGCCTTGTTAAGAGTTCTCTGTGGGTTGGCGAGGATGCCAGTCTGATACCGGAGGATGACACTGGCATTCCAGATTATCCCAACTTCCCTTACACTTGGACCAACACCAATGAAGAAACCCTTGGAAATCACTTGTCCTGGTCAACAGATCAAGTACATGCAATGTGGACATGACAGAGTTTGGTTTGACTGTGGTTTCGCAAGTCACAGTTGAGCAATCAGACGGCCAAGAGGTCGACGCTTATGCAGTGGAGAATGACTTTGATGGAACAGACCTCTACAGTGGAACCAGTCTATGGTGGAATGTGAATGCGTGAAGGAAGTAGTGGAAGAGAAGTGCATCTCACAATTGACAACGAAGGAAAGTACTGCCGTGCCCTCGTGACCAGTACAATGGATCCTGTCGGCAGTGTTTGCATCGAAGTATTGGAGAACCCAATGCAACTGGAAATCACTGTTGCTGCCAAGGATGACTACAGCCTTGTTAAGAGTTCTCTGTGGTTGGCGAGGATGCCAGTCTGATACCGGAGGATGACACTGGCATTCCAGATTATCCCAACTTCCCTTACACTTGGACCAACACCAATGAAGAAACCCCTTGGAAATCACTTGTCCTGGTCAACAGATCAAGTACATGCAATGTGGACATGACAGACTTTGGTTTGACTGTGGTTTCGCAAGTACAGTTGAGCAATCAGACGGCAAGAGGTCGACGCTTATGCAGGGAGAATGACTTTGATGGAACAGACTCTACAGTGGAACCAGTCTAATGGTTGAATGTGAATGCGTGAAGGAAGAGTGGAAGAGAAGTGCATCTCACCAATTGACAACGAAGAAAGTACTGCCGTGCCCTCATGACCAGTACAATGGATCCTGTCGGCAGTGTTTGCATCGAAGTATTGGAGAACCAATGCAACTGGAAATCACTGTTACTGCCAAGGATGACTACAGCCTTGTTAAGAGTTCTCTGTGGGTTGGCGAGGATGCCAGTCTGATACCGGAGGATGACACCGGCATTCCAGATTATCCCAACTTCCCTTACACTTGGACCAACACCAATGAAGAAACCCCTTGGAAATCACTTGTCCTGGTCAACAGATCAAGTACATGCAATGTGGACATGACAGAGTTTGGTTTGACTGTGGTTTCGCAAGTCACAGTTGAGCAATCAGACGGCCAAGAGGTCGACGCTTATGCAGTGGAGAATGACTTTGATGGAACAGACCTCTACAGTGGAACCAGTCTAATGGTGGAATGTGAATGCGTGAAGGAAGTAGTGGAAGAGAAGTGCATCTCACCAATTGACAACGAAGGAAAGTACTGCCGTGCCCTCATGACCAGTACAATGGATCCTGTCGGCAGTGTTTGCATCGAAGTATTGGAGAACCCAATGCAGTTGCGTGTCACAGTTGATGTACATGAGGTATATTCTCTTGATTCGATTGCACTATGGATTGGGGAGGACACTGATGCTGTCCAGACCAACCGGTCAGCCCCCCCTGAAACCGCACTCTTCCCCTACAAGTATGTGAGTTCTCTACCAAGAGAAAATCAATGGGAAGTATCTGTCAATGTGAATCGATCAGACACATGTGGTGGATACATGGATCAGTTTGACTTGATTGCCATGACACAAGTACTTGTGGAGGGATCCGAAGGAGACATTGTCGAAGCGTATGCTGTTGAGGATGACTACAGAAGTCTTTTTAGTGGAACCATTGTTTCTGTCAGATGTGAATGTGTCAAAGAATGCATTGAAGCCAAACCATCCTTACCAAAATCAGTATGTCATGAAATATTGGGTGATGACGCGATGGCTATTGGTTCTATGTGTATGGGATTGAGCAAAGATGGCAGCACAATGGAAGTCACATTTGAGACCACGGATGACTGGGGTCTTGTCACAACTGTGTTCTGGGTGGGAGACAATATCACAGGTGTTCCATTTGATGAGGGTTCCCTTGACACTGAGAGCTTCCCCTACTATTGGTGCAATTCCACTGGAGCGACGGCCCATACCACACATATTGACTTCAAGTGGTTATATCTGTGTGAAGAGGAAGGGGAATTCTCTCTTGCTGTTGTAGCCCAGGTTGCAGCTGCAAAGCTTTCACAGAAAGGAAAGGCAATTGAAGGCACTGAAATAATTTCTTTCATCTCAGAATATGAGATTGACTTGATGGACGACTCCTTTGGCTGGTTTGATGTTCCAGTCACGTGTACATGTGAACCAAAGAAGAAGAAACCAGTTTGTCCCGATGGAGACATGGTACCTGAGATTACAAAGTCAGAATGCCATGGTGTTTTGGGAGTTGACTCCATGCCTGTTGGTTTTATGTGTGTTGAGTTGAGCACTGACGGCGACAGCCTTGAAGTGACTTTCAAGTCCACCGAAGGCTGGGGACTTATCACCACGGACTTCTGGGTGGGAGAGAATATCAAAAGTGTTCCCCAGGACCATGTTGGATCACTCGACATTGAAAGCTTTCCATACTATTGGTGCAACTCAACAGGAGAGACTGTACATTCTACCAAGATTGATTTCAAGTGGGGATACCTATGTGACGAGGAATCTGAATTCTCACTTTCCATCGTGGCTCAGCTTGCCATGGCTGAACTTTCACAGATCGGGAAGGCAATTGAAGGAACAGAGATTGTCTCCTTTGTTTCAGAGTATGAGATTGACTTGATGGATGACTCCTTTGGCTGGTTTGATGTCCCAGTGACATGTGCTTGCAAGAAGCCCGTTTGTGTTGAAGGAGAACCCAAGGTGGCCAAGGAGGAATGCCACAATGTTCTGGCTGGTGATAACGCTCCAGTTGGATCCATGTGTGTTGGCTTGGCCAACAATGGCAAGGACCTGGATGTAACATTTCAGTCTACAGGAGACTGGGGTCTCATCACAACTGAGGTATGGGTGGGAGACAACGTACACGGCGTTCCCTTTGACGAGGAGGGTTCCCTGGATGTGGAGAGCTTCCCATACTTTTGGTGCAACTCAACAGGAGAGACCTCCCACTCCACCCATGTTGACTTCAAGTGGGCATACCTATGCGAAGAGAAAGATGAGTTCTCTCTTGCTGTTGTCGCTCAGGTTACTCTTGCGAAACTGTCCAATGCCGGGAAGGCCATAGAAGGAACTGAGGTTGTTTCCTTTGCTTCGGAATATGAGATTGACCTTAAGGATGACACCTTTGGCTGGTTTGATATCCCCGTGACATGTGCTTGTGAACCAAAGAAGTGTCCTTATGATATGGAACCAGAGATCACCAAAGCTGAATGCCACAACATCATGGGACAAGACTCCATGCCTGTTGGTTCTATGTGTGTTGGAGTTTTCGATTTGAAAGGATCGGTATCAGCAAGCCGGAAATGCCTTTGGAATCAATTGGAGACTGGGGTCTTATCACTACAGTTTGGGGGTGGAGACAATGTTACCAGTGTACCATTGATGATGATGGTGCCCTTGACATGAGGGTTTCCCTTTCTACTGGTGCAACTCAACAGGGGAGACATCCTACTCTACCCATGTTGACTTCAAGTGGACTATCTTTGTGAAGATGAAGGTGTCTTTTCCCTGCTGTTGTGGCCCAAGTTACAGTTGGCAAAATTGCTGAAGATGGATTAGCCGTTGAAGGAACAGAGATTGTCTCCTTTGTTTCGGAGTATGAGATTGACTTGATGGATGACTCCTTTGGCTGGTTTGATGTCCCAGTGACATGTGCTTGCAAGAAGCCCGTTTGTGTTGAAGGAGAACCCAAGGTGGCCAAGAGGAATGCCACAATGTTCTGGCTGGCGATAACACTCAGTTGGATCCATGTGTGTTGGCTTGAGCAAGGATGGCAGCAACTTTGAGGTGACCTTTGAGTCTACAGGAGACTGGGGTCTCATCACAACTGAATTCTGGATGGGAGACAACGTACACGGCGTTCCCTTTGACGAGGAGGGTTCCCTGGATTTGGAGAGCTTCCCATACTATTGGTGCAACTCAACGGGAGAGACCACCCACTCCACCCACATTGACTTCAAGTGGGCATACCTATGCGAAGAGAAAGATGAGTTCTCTCTTGCTGTTGTGGCCCAAGTGACCGTTGGCAAGATGTCTGAAGATGGTCTGGCAATTGAGGGTACGGAAATTGTTTCCTTTGCTTGGAATATGAGATTGACCTTCAGGATGACACCTTTGGCTGGTTTGATATCCCGTGACATGTGCTTGTGAACCAAAGAAATGTCTATGATATGGAACCAGAGATCCAAAGCTGAATGCACAACATCATGCAGGACTAAGACTCAGCCTGTTGGTTCTATGTGTGTTGGAATGAGTCGTGATGGCAGCAGCCTGGAATTGCCTTTGAATCAATGGAGACTGGGGTCTTATCACACAGATTTTGGGTGGAGACATGTTACCAGTGTCCCATTTGATGATGATGGTGCCCTTGACATGGAGGGTCCCTTTCTACTGGTGCAACTCCACAGGGGAGACATCCTACTCTACCCATGTTGACTTCAAGTGGGACTATCTTTGTGAAGATGAAGGTGTCTTTTCCCTGGCTGTTGTGGCCCAAGTTACAGTTGGCAAAATTGCTGAAGATGGATTAGCCGAAGGAACAGAGATTGTCTCCTTTGTTTGAGATTGACTTGATGGATGACTCCTTTGGCTGGTTTGAGTCCCGTGACATGTGCTTGCAAGAAGCCCGTTTGTGTTGAAGGAAACCCAAGGTGGCCAAGAGGAATGCCACAATGTTCTGGCTGGCGATAACACTCAGTTGGATCCATGTGTGTTGGCTTGAGCAAGGATGGCAGCAACTTTGAGGTGACCTTTAGTCTACAGGAGACTGGGGTCTCATCACAACTGAATTCTGGATGGGAGACAACGTACACGGCGTTCCCTTTGACGAGGAGGGTTCCCTGATTTGGAGAGCTTCCCATACTATTTGGTGCAACTCAGGGAGAGACTCACACTCCACCATGTTGACTTCAAGTGGGCATACCTATGCGAAGAGAAGGATGAGTTCTCTCTTGCTGTTGTGGCCCAAGTGACCGTTGGCAAGATGTCTAAGATGGCCTGGCCATTGATGGTACAGAAATTGTTTCCTTTGCTTCGGAATATGAGATTGACTCAGGATGACACCTTTGGTGGTTTGATATCCCAGTGACATGTGCTTTGAACCAAAGAAATGTCCTTATGATATGAACCAGAGATCACCAAAGCTGAATGCCACAACATCATGGGACAAGACTCCAGCCTGTTGGTTCTATTGTGTGTTGGAATGAGTCGTGATGGCAGCAGCCTGGAAATTGCCTTTGAATCAATTGGAGACTGGGGTCTTATCACTACAGAGTTTTGGGTGGGAGACAATGTTACAGTGTACCATTTGATGATGATGGTGCCCTTGACATGAGGGTTTCCCTTTCTACTGGTGCAACTCCACAGGGAGACATCCTACTCTACCCATGTTGACTTCAAGTGGGACTATCTTTGTGAAGATGAAGGTGTCTTTTCCCTGGCTGTTGTGGCCCAAGTTACAGTTGGCAAAATTGCTGAAGATGGATTAGCCGTTGAAGGAACAGAGATTGTCTCCTTTGTTTCAGAGTATGAGATTGACTTGATGGATGACTCCTTTGGCTGGTTTGACGTCCCGCCGTTTGTGTTGAAGGAGAACCCAAGGTGGCCAAGGAGGAATGCCACAATGTTCTGGCTGGTGATAACGCTCCAGTTGGATCCATGTGTGTTGGCTTGAGCAAGGATGGCAGCAACTTTGAGGTGACCTTTGAGTCTACAGGAGACTGGGGTCTCATCACAACTGAATTCTGGATGGGAGACAACGTACACGGCGTTCCCTTTGACGAGGAGGGTTCCCTGGATTTGGAGAGCTTCCCATACTATTGGTGCAACTCAACGGGAGAGACCACCCACTCCACCCACATTGACTTCAAGTGGGCATACCTATGCGAAGAGAAGGATGAGTTCTCTCTTGCTGTTGTGGCCCAAGTGACCGTTGGCAAGATGTCCGAAGATGGTCTGGCCATTGATGGTACAGAAATTGTTTCCTTTGCTTCGGAATATGAGATTGACCTTCAGGATGACACCTTTGGGTGGTTTGATATCCCCGTGACATGTGCTTGTGAACCAAAGAAATGTCCTTATGATATGGAACCAGAGATCACCAAAGCTGAATGCCACAACATCATGGGACAAGACTCCATGCCTATTGGTTCTATGTGTGTTGGAATGAGTCGTGATGGCAGCAGCCTGGAAGTTGCCTTTGAATCAATTGGAGACTGGGGTCTTATCACTACAGAGTTCTGGGTGGGAGACAATGTTACCAGTGTACCATTTGATGATGATGGTGCCCTTGACATGGAGGGTTTCCCTTTCTACTGGTGCAACTCCACAGGGGAGACATCCTACTCTACCCATGTTGACTTCAAGTGGGACTATCTTTGTGAAGATGAAGGTGTCTTTTCCCTGGCTGTTGTGGCCCAAGTTACGGTTGGCAAAATTGCTGAAGATGGATTAGCCGTTGAAGGAACAGAGATTGTCTCCTTTGTTTCGGAGTATGAGATTGACTTGATGGATGACTCCTTTGGCTGGTTTGATGTCCCAGTGACATGTGCTTGCAAGAAGCCCGTTTGTGTTGAAGGAGAACCCAAGGTGGCCAAGGAGGAATGCCACAATGTTCTGGCTGGTGATAACACTCCAGTTGGATCCATGTGTGTTGGCTTGAGCAAGGATGGCAGCAACTTTGAGGTGACCTTTGAGTCTACAGGAGACTGGGGTCTCATCACAACTGAATTCTGGATGGGAGACAACGTACACGGCGTTCCCTTTGACGAGGAGGGTTCCCTGGATTTGGAGAGCTTCCCATACTATTGGTGCAACTCAACGGGAGAGACCTCTCACTCCACCCATGTTGACTTCAAGTGGGCATACCTATGCGAAGAGAAGGATGAGTTCTCTCTTGCTGTTGTGGCCCAAGTGACCGTTGGCAAGATGTCTGAAGATGGCCTGGCCATTGATGGTACAGAAATTGTTTCCTTTGCTTCGGAATATGAGATTGACATTCAGGATGACACCTTTGGGTGGTTTGATATCCCCCCCAGTGACATGTGCTTGTGAACCAAAGAAGTGTCCTTATGATATGGAACCAGAGATCACCAAAGCTGAATGCCACAACATCATGGGACAAGACTCCATGCCTGTTGGTTCTATGTGTGTTGGAATGAGTGTGATGGCAGCAGCCTGGAAGTTGCCTTTGAATCAATTGGAGACTGGGGTCTTATCACTACAGAGTTCTGGGTGGGAGACAATGTTACCAGTGTACCATTTGATGATGATGGTGCCTTGACATGGAGGGTTTCCCTTTCTACTGGTGCAACTCCACAGGGGAGACATCCTACTCTACCATGTTGACTTCAAGTGGGACTATCTTTGTGAAGATGAAGGTGTCTTTTCCCTGGCTGTTGTGGCCCAAGTTACGGTTGGCAAAATTGCTGAAGATGGATTAGCCATTGAAGGAACAGAGATTGTCTCCTTTGTTTCAGAGTATGAGATTGACTTGATGGATGACTCCTTTGGCTGGTTTGACGTCCCGGTGACATGTGCTTGCAAGAAGCCCGTTTGTGTTGAAGGAGAACCCAAGGTGGCAAGGAGGAATGCCACAATGTTCTGGCTGGCGATAACACTCCAGTTGGATCCATGTGTGTTGGCTTGAGCAAGGATGGCAGCAACTTTGAGGTGACCTTTGAGTCTACAGGAGACTGGGGTCTCATCACAACTGAATTCTGGATGGGAGACAACGTACACGGCGTTCCCTTTGACGAGGAGGGTTCCCTGGATTTGGAGAGCTTCCCATACTATTGGTGCAACTCAACGGGAGAGACCTCTCACTCCACCCATGTTGACTTCAAGTGGGCATACCTATGCGAAGAGAAGGATGAGTTCTCTCTTGCTGTTGTGGCCCAAGTGACCGTTGGCAAGATGTCGAAGATGGTCTGGCCATTGATGGTACAGAAATTGTTTCCTTTGCTTCGGAATATGAGATTGATTTGATGTATGACTCTTTTGGTTGGTTTGATATCCCAGTGACCTGTGCTTGTGAACAAAAGAAGAACGAGTGTTCTGATGATCAAAGGGAACCCAAGATTCTCAAACCTGAATGTCAAAATGTTATTGCAGGTGACTCGACTAGTGTTGGTTCTATTTGTGTTGAGTTGAGCAATGATGGCAGCAGCTTGGAAATTGCCTTTGAATCAATTGGAGACTGGGGTCTTATCACCACAGAATTTTGGGTAGGAGACCATGTTACCAGTGTTCCCTTTGATGATGATGGTGCCCTGGATGTGGAGAGCTTCCCATACTATTGGTGCAACTCCACAGGAGAGACTTCCCATACCACACTTGTTGACTTCAAGTGGGGTTATATGTGCGGAGAACAGGACTACTTCTCTCTTGCTATTGTAGCGCAAGTTACGGTTGGCAAGTTGTCTGAGGGGGGCAATGCAATTGAAGGCACCGAGCTTGTCTCCTTTGCTACCAAGTACGATATTGACTTGATGGATGATTCCTTTGGCTGGTTTGATGTCCCTTTGACCTGTGTTTGCAAAAAACCTGCTTGTGTTGAACCCAAGCCTCCAAGCCCTGATTGCCACAATGTTCTGGCTGGCGATAACACTCCAGTTGCATCCATCTGTGTTGATTTGAGCAATGATGGCAGCAGCCTGGATGTTGTGTTTGAGTCTACAAGGGACTGGGGTCTTATCACGACTGAGTTCTGGGTGGGTGACAATGTAACTAGTGTTCCGTTGGATGATGGCGCCTTGGATGTGGAGAGCTTCCCATACTTTTGGTGCAACTCCTCAGGGGAGGTATCACATACCACTCATGTTGACTTCAAGTGGGAGTATCTTTGTGACGAGCTGGATGAGTTTTCTCTTGCTTTTGTTGCCCAAATCACCGTGGGCAAGATGTCTGAAGAAGGTGACGCTATCGAGGGAACAGAAATATCATCCTATGCCACAAAGTACGAGATAGACCTGCAGGACGAGATCTTTGGTTGGTTCGATTATGGAATTGTGTGTGGATGCAAAGCTTCCAAAGAAAGCAATGGAAAGTCAGCATCCACAGCTGTGACCCCCAATGGCTGCGTGAGTGGCGTCCTAGTCGACCACACGGTGGCGACTGTGCCGGTGCTCGGTGTCTTTGTGAAGGGATCTGCTTCTGTATCACATAGTTTGCTTGTTCCAAAGAATGCCGAAACCATGTCCTTCCAGTTCAAGTTGCATCAAATTGACCTGTGGGAGCGTCTGGACAAGGTTGTTGCGTCATTGAATGGTGTTGCCATCGATCTGGGTGCCCTCGAGCAGTTCGATCATCGCAACAATCCTATGAACTACCAAAGCGGAACTCTGCTGAATGGCGAGGTTTCCTGGTCTCGCCACAAGGTGCTGGATACCAATGACTACAACGACCAAGTGCATTTGGTGCAGGTGACCGTTGCAGGAAAATACTTTGCATCTGGCAAACTCGACGTTGAGTTCCATGCAAGCTTATCGCATTCCGCAGCCAGTCAGAGTGCTTCGATTCGCGATTTGGAGATAGTTGCTTCCGGTTATTGGTGCAAAGAGGACCTTCCAAAGTTGCCCTCCAACAACAACAAAGAGATGTTGGCAGCGCCCACGTTTGCTCCTTCCGCGAAACCGTCGCTGGCAGGCTTTCAATGTACATCGTCTCATTTGGTTGTTACGGAGGACTTTGAGGCAGAAGATTGCGAAGATCTCTGGCACGAAGGTACCGTGTCCTACGGCAGTAATTTTTCGCACTTTTTGGGTCGCATGGGCCGTGGCAACGAATACATTTGGCGTGAATTTGAGGTGCCCGTGGCGGATGGTGATGTGACGGCCGAGAATGTGACGATCGAATTTGCCCTCTACCAACTTGACGACTGGAGTGAAGGAACTTTCAGTGTTATTGTTGGTGAAACTGAAATTTTGCTGCAAGGCATCGCTTCGGAGCCTACGGAAGACTTTGTCAGCGGGTTGGTCGATGGCATTGCCTGGTGGCGCGAAACGTTTGTGCAAGGCTTTGACCTCGGCTTTAACACCGACGCGGACAAGAAACACTTGGTGGAATTGACTGTGCCCGGCGACAAGTTTAGTGCCAATGGCACCTTGTTGCTTGGATTCAAGGCCGATTCCGATGTCAGCGTGTCCCACCACAGCGCGGGAGTGGACAATTTGAACATTACCGCAAACTACGATTGCAACAACGATCAACGCTCGTTATTGGCAGCAGCAGCCTCGACGTACGACAAGAAACAAGACCTTGTGGTTGCCAAAGAAACCTACGAATCCGGCCAAGTCATTGGCTGGGTCAACGGCCTGATTTCTCAGAATGATCGCCGCGGACACTTTTTGGGTCGCCTTGGACTCGAGAATGACTTTGTGTCCAAGACCTTCCGTGTCCCACCGACCGCCGAGTCGATGTCGCTCGAGTTTGACCTGTACACGTTGGGCAACTACCCCTGGCGCGTCAAGTCGGACCAATTCCATGTCAAGATTGGCATTACCAGTGTGCACGTTGGCAGTCTCCGCAATTTGCAAGACAGCGGCAGTGTGAAGAGCATTTCCTGGACTCGTGCGGTGGATCCTACGGACAGCAATCTCCATCATGTTACCATGGATATCGCCTCGTTGTACTTTCCATCGGGCGAGCTCAGCGTTGGCTTTCACATCATGACGACCGATTCGATTGCCAAGAAGAGTGTCGGTGTGGATAATCTCATAATCACAGCCCGTGCTGTGCATACTACCGCCTCTGACCAAGAGAGAAAGAAGACGAATGAACAAGCGACAACAACAACAAAGAAAGAGAGCACATCATACTCTCACTACCAAGCTCCTACCACGAAACAAGAACCAGTCAAGCAGCGCCCCGTGCGCAACCACGGTGGAGTCTGTTACTCCGAAGATTTCCCCTGTGGCGGTGACAAACCAGGCATGGTTTACATCTGCCACTACTCTATCAAGAAGGGGTACCAGACGTACTGCCTGAATGAAGAGGACACTGATATTGTCCGATCCTATGCCGATGATTACTGTGGCCCTTGTGTCGGTGGTTACGGCCAGCAGCAGGGCTACTCGTACCGTTCCTAGATATAGAAATCGAGAATGGCTACCACTGAGAATGAATGAATGAAAGAATAATAATGAATGAAACAAAGATTGAGAGTTTGAACGTTGCATATTTACATACGACATACATGTTGACAGAAAGAAATTAAGAAGAAAGTCTCGAGTAGAGATTACTAAAATAGAATGAAGATTGTGTTGAAATGTCTATACATCATGTAGCTTGTCTATCTAGCTACTCTTTCTCCAACATGTGTCCCGGAATGTCCTTGATCAAATTTCTCTTTTCCGCTTCGACCCGCGTCCATTTTTGTGGCACTTTTCTCAATCCCACCAAGTCGTAATTGTGTTTGGTTTGGAGTTTGTCGACGAGGTCGTTGTAGGTTGCTTCCTCCATTTGCGGTGTCCGTGCCATGATCCAGCAATACGCCCGCGAAGGATATCCCACGACGCAGTACTGGTAGTGCTCCAAATCGACTTCCACGAGGAGATAAGGCATTTTGATGGGCCATGCGGGGGACACTTGCCAATTTCCCGTTTTGGTTTCAAGGCGGTTGGTTCCCGGCGCAAATTGCTTGTTGTCATTGTCGAGAACCCATCCCTTTTGAGGCAATGCCTTGATCTTGCTGGTGATGGGTTCGTCGACATTGAATGTAAAATCAATGTCAAAATCGTTTCCACCATTTTTCTTCTTGGCATCGTCAATCCAAGTGTATCGTTCGACGGCATTGCTGTTTTTGGTTTCGAACATGGTCGGTTTGACGGCAATGACGAACCAAGTTCCCATCATGCGTTCCGTCACGCATTCCGAGACGGTTTGGAGAGCAGGCAAGGAGTTTGAAGCAGAGTTTCCCATGGTCTTGTAGTAGTTTTCTTTCTTTTTTAGTTGTTTGCTGCTGTTTCTGTTTGTTTTGTGTCATCACCATCATTGCTTGCCGTTGTGCGTGCTGGTTGTGTGCTGGTTGTGGCTGAGCTCGATGGGGCACTGAGTCAGAGTTTGGTTTTCATTCGTGCCAAAAAATTGGAACTTCCGCGGGAATGATTGAATTCCCGTACTCTACCTAATGCTTATGTACAGCTCCGCTGGCTAATGCAAGGATTCATTCGGTTTCCGCTTTTGTGTCACGGTACCCGTAAAAGTGATTAGTTGAAGGGGCTCCAGAGGGGAGAAGGGAGGAGGGTTAAGCTAGTCTGGACAAAGGCATCTAGTTGCACATGTTTCTTTGAGTTGTGGTACCCGTAAAAGTGATTAGTTGAAGGGGCTCCAGAGGGAGAAGGAGGAGGGTTAAGCTAGTCTGGACAAAGGCATCTAGTTGCACATGTTTCTTTGAGTTGTGTACCCGTAAAAGTGATTAGTTGAAGGGGCTCCAGAGGGGAGAGGAGGAGGGTTAAGCTAGTCTGTACAAGGCATCTAGTTGCACATGTTTTGAGTTGGGTACCCGTAAAAGTGATTAGTTGAAGGGGCTCCAGAGGGAGAAGGAGGAGGGTTAGCTAGTCTGACAAAGGCATCTATTGCACATGTTTTGAGTTGGTACCCGTAAAAGTGATTAGTTGAAGGGGCTCGAGGGGAGAAGGAGGAGGGTTAAGCTGCTGGGCAAGAGCATCTAGTGCACATGTTTTGAGTTGTGGTACCCGTAAAAGTGATTAGTTGAAGGGGCTCCAGAGGGAGAAAGGAGGAGGGTTAAGCTAGTCTCGGCAAGAGCATCTAGTTGCAAATGTTTGAGTTTGGTACCCGTAAAAGTGATTAGTTGAAGGGGCTCAGAGGGGAGAAGGAGGGGGGTTAAGCTAGTCTGGGCAGAGCATCTAGTTGCACAGTTTTGAGTTGTGTACCCGTAAAAGTGATTAGTTGAAGGGCTCCAGAGGGAGAAGGAGGAGGGTTAAGCTAGTCTGGGCAAGAGCATCTAGTGCACATGTTTTGAGTTGTGGTACCCGTAAAAGTGATTAGTTGAAGGGGCTCCAGAGGGGAGAAGGAGGAGGGTTAAGCTAGTCTCGGCAAGAGCATCTAGTTGCACATGTTTTGAGTTGTGGTACCCGTAAAAGTGATTAGTGAAGGGGCTCCAGAGGGGAGAAGGAGGAGGGTTAAGCTAACCAGTCAAATGCACTCCAGAGGGGATTATGTACAAGTACATGTAGGTACGGTTGTACATGTATGTACGATTCGTACCCTTTCGAAGTATCTTAAAACAAGGGTGGGAAGAAAATATGTGTTATCTTAAAAATAGGTGTGACACGACTCGATTCGCGCGCACCGCGCGCGACTGACGTCAGTCGGCCGCTCTACGTGCAACGTGTATGTACGTTGCACGTAGGCTTTCTACACGGCTGTAGGATTTGTACTTGCACGCTACAGAGGTAGTATAGTACTGTATTTTCTATAGTAAACATGACTAATCGTTCCTCTGTCTTCGTGGGACTCAACCCAGGTTGCACAGGCACCAAGGTGATCAATCTTCCACTCTGGTTAGCTGAAAACCCAACGCAGGATCTGCCATCCCTCCTGAGCCTAGCACAGATTTCCAGAACTTGCAGGGTCCAAAGACAAGAAGGTGCTTCTCAGAAAGATAGTGCCAGCGTCAACTTAACCCAAAGCAGTTGCGAGTTGAACATAGACACGTTTTTAGCTAGTGGTCTGGGAAAATTTTGAACGAGACACCAACTAATCTGTCAAGGTGATGGGTGGGTACCGAATAACGTCCGCATTTTCACGATGTTCACTCTGTTCGCTTTGCTCTTGTCTTCGCAGGCCCACATTGCAACAGCCGGCAGAAAACGAGCACCAGCATCACGGTAACGACTCAAGCCATTGGTCACCACAATCATTGGCCCCCCATTAACAGAGATGCTTAAGCTTCCATCTTCAGCTTCGTCGGCATTCAAATTTAGCGTCATTGCCACCTTGGCGTCACCAGTAATTGTGGGCAGCTGATCATTGTGGCCTCTTTTTCTGTCTAACCATGTCGTTTGCCTAAAGCAAGCCCAAGTGCCACGTTGAACAGTAAAGTCCGAGCCAAGGTCAAGTGAAACACTGCAATCAACTATTCCAACCATCACAAAGTCTACTTCTTTGAATTCAAGTGACCAATGATACGTTCCACAAGCCATTGGTTTGCAGTCCACGATGCCAATCCTGTTGAAAAGGGAAGGAGAAAACAGTCTTGAATCACAATTCTTCCATTTGAGTTCGACACTGTCCTCATTCATTGCAACCAAGGCCTTATGTTTGTAGGCTTCGAAAAGCTGGTCGCGACTTGCAAGCCCAGATCGCTCAACTCTCGTGGACAGGATGTCTGAACTGATCTGTTTGAGGTCGACACACTTCGACAACAGTTGCTTTGCTTTTGCATGCTGATCACTCTGTTGGTCATTGCCAGCCCAAGTGTGAATAAGATCAAAGGCTCTGTGATGATTGGTTGACTCCTTGGCTATAAATAGACCCTCAAGAATCCGTTTGAGAGTAGATGCTTGCAGCAAATTGACCGCTGATGGTGTCAGGACCTTGTCATTGGAACGAATTGCAGATAATGCCACATTCTCCAAATCTGTCCGTTCGCCATCAAATGATTCCAATGCAGCAAACGTAAGAATTGGGTAGCTCACGGCACATTTTTGCAAGTGAAGTTTGATGTTATCCACAAGGCTCTGCATGTCAAAATAGACGGCTGCATTTGCGAGGGACACAACGGCCTGTATGCCCTCAGCCTCATTGTTGACATTGCTGTTTGTAAGGTTCTCCAATATATCAGCTTTGTTGGTATGCAGGTACTGGACAATTGACTTGATCACAATGCCAGAGAAGCTGTTGATGTTGATTTCTTTGCTGGTAGACTCTTGGAACTTTCCCATGAACATCTTCTGGAAATATTCACACCGTACAGAAAGGGCGGTTCTGTTGGCCGTCACTTTGATGCCATCATTGCCAACCAAGGTAACATCATGGAAGGAATCGTTTTCCAGAAGCACCAAGAAGGAGTTTTCAAATGAGCCAAGGTTGCAAGAAGTGCTGTTCATGATACAGGTAGGTTCGGATGGTCAATTACCGCTGCGATGCTGCGATCTTACGTCTTCTGCTGCTGGGTGGAACGAGAAACGAGATCTGTCGTTGTCATATTAATAATAATGCATACTGTAGGGATAGGACAGCTGTTCTATAGCTAGTAGTCTAGTAGAACACATACCACCACCTTAACTTAGGAATTACAAAATCCCCAGAGGGATTAAGTTCTATAATTAGATTTGAAAACGGTATGTGATGGCCTCTTGCTAGGGCCATCCTGTAACCGTTTGGGGGTATAAAGAGGGATTGTGTAAGCATGAATCGCATACCACCAGCAACGAACGGATGAGCAGTCCAGGTGACTGGCAGGAGCATAGGTGCCGGCCAAGACAGAGGCAGGCATGGAGAGCTGCATGGAGCCAGATGGGTAAGGTATGGTACCAGGATGCTAATGCAGTGGCAGGCAGAAGTTGCGGGACTAACTGGGTGGAAAAGTTCGAGTGGTGGGCCCATTGGGCGGGGAGAATGGTTTGGAGCGACTGAAGTGGGAGATGTGGGTGGTGAAGTGTTTGTTAGCATGGGGGAGCAGGGCTTTGGGGGCAGGCTGGAGCTGGGAGTTGGATGGGATGGAAGCCTGTGGATCCAGGGGTGGGGGAGCAGGAATGGGAATAATGCTCTTGGCACCATAAAGGGAGGTTGACCACAGGGGCGAAGGCCAAGGAAGGGGGCAACAGCAAGATATAGTGGAACGTAGACGTCAGCCCGCATCCAAGCTCCGAGAGCCGAGAGTAGCGACTTTACTGGCAACACGCTCAACTGTCCCAACTATGTGCGCCCACACCAAACCTACCGGTACGAAGCAAGTGCTCAAGCACTTCCCCGCAGTATTCAGCTCCAAGCTGGAAGTACCGGATCATAGACCTCAATTATCCCTGGCTGATCGCACGGAACCTAGTAGTCCTGTACGATGTACCTTACCTTGGCCCTGGCAGACTTCCGCAGATAACTTCCCTACCCTAAACCCCCTTCACGTCGAACTCGTAGTACCAGTAGCTTCGTTTGTGGAGGTTGGTGACGATGGCTCGTGATTCTAAGATTGATGATACCGGCGGTGACCTACCGTGCTGGCTAATGGTACAGCTGTACGATGTCCGGCATCGTTCAGGATCGACTGCTCTGCTGGCTAAGCTACGATCTCAGTCGTTGTGTCGACAGAATTCACCGCACCAACCCAAAGACTGTGAGATTGTGAGAGATCATGAGATGCTCAACAACCTGGCTAGTCAGCCTGCTTCCTGCCCTGCTAAAGCATGAACATGTTCAACTGCTCCCAATTGAATAGTTGAATGATCAACAGTTGAGGATAGACAAACTAATGAGTAATATAGTCACAATATAGCATTCAAACCCTCACGCTTCCTCTGCGCATGCATGCTATATCGGAGCACCTCCGAGTCGTATTACTTACAAGACATTGGTCAAGGAGCTGCTCCATACCCCGGTGTGCCAATGGCCACCGATGCACATCATCTATAGATTGAACCCACAATCCATCGATTAGGTGCTTCAAACAGACAAGATTTCAGACTCCGATTCATCACAAGAGGAAACAGCCCGAGAACTCCGAGCCGAAATAAGAGCTGACAGGAGAAGAGTCCAACGTCAAGACGCTGAACAAGCCCTTCAAAGAACGAGACAACGATTGCAAAGAAGAAGGCAACGGTTAGAACAGATCCATCAAGAAAGGGAACAACAAGCAATAGCTGACCCCATCATGGAACCAGCTCAAGTACGGGCGCTCGTGGAAGCAGCGGTAGCAGCAGCGCTACAAAATCAAAATGTGATTCAAGCCATTCGCCCACCTCAAGCTGTACGCCCTGTAATTCCATTCGCAGTTACTCCAGCCGGAACTGGGAACGACGCGTGGGACTTCACTTCCGGAACAGGGTTGAAGATCTTTATGGCGGCCACCGCCCCCTTTCACATCATTTATGACGGAAAAGAGTTAAACTTACGTGACTTCTTGCGTAGGGTGTGGCACAGAGCTGAAGCCTTTGGGTGGACCGACATTCTCTTCGTGACCGACGCAAGCGGAACGGCACGCAACATCACCAAGGAGCACGGGTGCCTCACTATCGAACTCGTGAAAGCTCACGCACTCGTCTATCTGCGACAAGCCAATCGCAGACACCAAGCCTCAGCATGTCTCAGACAATTGCTCATCGGATCAATTACCTCCAAACTAGCTGACCGACTCACCAACAAGAAAGAAAGCTACACAATCAATGCTGCTCCAGCAGCGCAAATTGGACAACCAGCTCCAGCTCCCATTCCTACTGAGGACGGGACATGTATGCTTTTTGAAATCATCAAGCTTGTGTCAGTCGAGACCAAAGCAACAGTGGCTCTCATCTCAAAGCGACTGGCCAACCTCGAAGTTGTCATGGAAGAGTGCAAGTCCAACATCGACGTCTTTAATGATGTCGTGGATGATTTGATCTCCCAGTTGGAAGCTCGTGATGTTACCGTCCCGGACATGCTCAACCCCTTATTCGATGGGTACAGCAACTGCGCTGATGCCAACTTCGTCAAGTACATCGCGACCAAGAGAGATGCATACTATGATGGCACATTGGTGATCACTCACTCGGCACTCATGGTGTCAGCCCTCGAGAAATACAAGATCATGAAGGATATGAAACTTTGGCTCAAGAAGTCTGATGAGGAGCTAGAGCTGATCACGCTCAAAGCCGAACTAACCAAGCTCAAGACTGCTCCAAAGACTGCTCCTACCGCACGTAGTGGAGGAGATGGAAAGGGAAAGAGTCAGAAGCAGAAGATGGACGACAAACACGCATGGAAGCTTGTCTCACCCAAGGAAGGAGAAGCGCAACAGAAGACTGTTAACGGCAAGAAGTACATCTATTGCCCTTACCATCAGACCACGAAGTGGGTTCTCGAAATCAACAATAAAGGGGTGGTCCATCGTACTGGTTGCGAGAAAATGAAGGAGGCACTTATCGCTGCCAAAGCAGCCAAGGAGAATCCAGCGGCTCCGGAACAGGAAGCAGCTGCTGCCGCCATGGCAAACGCCATTGAGGATGTTGGCACCGATACGTTGCTGCCCATCGTTGATGATGAAGAACTCTGATGGTGGCGGAGTGGAGGATATCTGTTGTACTTGATCGTAGCATACTGTAATCACTTTAGTGATCAACTTTCAGTTACTTTTGTTCTTCAGCCTCTACTCTTAGCATCACTTGTAGCAAAGCTACTTGCCGCCATATCTTCTGGGAAACAGAAAGCCAAACGTCAGCTGCTCAAGTTAGAGTCCGTGGTTGACCAAATGGCAGAAGAGGCACAACTCAGTCAGACACTGCTCTTTTTGGCGGCACTAAACCTACCTGAACTGGGCACGTGGTTCTGCGAATTTCACAGACAGCCGATGTCTTGGCTGGTGTTCGCCTCGTTGTTCAGCGCACCCATCCATGTTTGGATGCACGTGGTTGCACTGACAATTTCAAGCGCTATGGACGCTACTCTCTTTGCTGCGCAAGTACCGAATGCGGAACAGCAATTTGTACATTCAGTGCCCTCACTCGGTCACTGCTCCTTTGGGGAATGCAACCCTCGGAGCCGCCTCCTTACGTCCCAAAGCGACTCAGGAACAGGCCTTCACTCCTTTCGAGAACAGCAAGGACCGCGGCGGAATCAGCTAAGAATTGGGCGTGGCACGCAATCAGCACGGTAGTGTTGATCACGCAACTGGCACACTTGGCCTCAGAAGAGACGGCTAGGGCGCCACAAGAAGAACGACAGAACCGACAATCAATGGATGAGCCGTTCCTGGATCAAGAAGAAGAATTCGAGGGTCCATATGCCGAAGCATGTGGCAAATATCGCCGTGGCACAGTTCCGACCATGATGATGGATTGGACACCGCCAGAGACAGACATCAGGCCGACCGTGTTTGAGCTTTTTATACGTTTCCTTTTGGTGCTAAAAGGGGGCTTGGGGGTACTGATGGAAGAGAGTAACCCCATTGTGGCGTGGCAATTTGTTGCCTGCTCTTTGTCAGGGCAGGTTGGTGGAAACGCGGAAGATCATCAGTATGACGCCGATTCAGTGCTCATAGCTATAGACAACTGTTCGTCCCGGTGCATCACCAACTGCATGAAGGATTTCATAGAGGAACCAGTCAAGGTTAATATCAAGGTGCAAGGAATTGGCGGGACGGTCATGGCTACTTACAGGGGCACAGTGCGATGGTCAATTGAAGATGACTCAGGAAGGGTACATCATTTCGTCATCCCACACACCTACTACAATCCGTCCACGCCTTACAGACTGCTATCGCCTCAACACTGGGCGCAAACAGCCAGAGACAACCAACCAGAGCAGAGAGGAACTTGGTGTGCCACCTATGAGGACGCAGTCGAACTGTTCTGGAAACAAAGGCAGTTCAAGAGAGTTATCCAGCTCTCTGCCAGCAACAATATTGCGTTGGTCAGGAGTGCTCCTTCTTTTTCGAAGTTGCACGCCTTCTGCGTGGAGATTGCGCCCGTATTGGAGAGCGAACAATCAACGTTGGAAGTCGACGAGGCCGAATTCATGTGCTATCCAGCTGTCTCCGTCACGGATGATGACGCATCTGTCACTTCCCTTGAGTCGTTCGACGACGACTCACTGGATGATTTAGATCGTCTGCATCCTGACCTCCCGAGAGGAGTACAGGAGCATGGAAAGCGATCTGAGTCTTTCCAGAAAGCAATTACCGAGGCATTCAAAATGGGCAAGGACCTCAACAAGATTGCTCAGACGCCCGTGGTGGACCATGACTACACAGAGTACATGGACAGCAGCACCGATATACTGGCTTGGCACTACCGGCTGGGACACCTGTCTTTCGACAGGATCAGGAAGCTGGCACAGAGAGGAGCGTTGCCAGCAGCACTGATCAAAGCCAGGGCACCAAAATGTGCAAGTTGCATGTTTGGCAAAGCCACGAAGAGACCGTGGAGATCTAGGACACCGGTCAACCAAAACAGGGACATGGTACCCAACGCCATTACTTCAGGCAGTGTGGTAGGAGTGGATCAACTCATATCGTCCACCCCAGGGCTCATTGCGCAGATGAGAGGCTTCCTGACCAGGAAGCGCTACACCGTCAGCACCGTCTTTGTGGACCATTACAGTGGGCTGTCATACGTTCATTTCCAGACGTCCACTTCCGCGGAACAAACCATACTCGCGAAGAAAGCATTCGAGAGATATGCCAGCACATTCGGCGTGTCAGTGAGACATTACCATGCCGACAATGGGATTTTCGACAGCAAAGCCTTTGTGGAAGAAGTGCATCGGAGCGGACAGACCATCACTTATGCGGCCGTGAATGCACATCACATGAACGGCAGAGCGGAGAAGAAGATACGTGACCTTCAGGAGGCGGCAAGGACCATGATCCTGCACGCCAAGCAACGGTGGCCAAACGCCATCACAGCACATCTTTGGCCGTATGCAGTTCGGTATGCAAACGACGTGGCCAACTCCACTCCGTTGCTCAAAGGGAAGGAGCATGTGTCCCCGGTAGAGTTATTCTCTGGGGTAGACGTCAAGCCGAAAGTGAAGAATGCGCACACTTTCGGCTCACCAGTTTACGTATTGGACGATAGGGCGCAACAAGGAAAGCCCATGCCCAAGTGGGAACACAAGTCGAGGGTGGGAGTCTATTTGGGACTGTCGCCGCGGCACTCGAGGAAAGTGGCATTAGTTTTGAGTCTCAAGACAGGGCTCGTATCGCCGCAGTTTCACTGCCAATTTGACGACCTTTGCGACACGCTCAGGAAGGGCAAAGGCATGTCGTTGCCGCCGTCTAAGTGGCAGGAGAAGGCTGGTTTCGTGGAGCAAGAGGATGTAGCAGCGGTGGTTGATCGTCATCGTGGAGAATTGAAGGAAACGGATAACGCGAATCGACCTTCTTCTGTGAATCAACCTGACTCCAGTCACGAGGCGAACATTGGAGGCCCAACGCACGACTCACCACCCATACGCGCGGAAGACATATTGCTCGAGGACTTCGGTATTCGCGGACAAGCCAATGACAGCGGCAACGAAGAGAGGCCGATACAACAACAACAACAACAACAACAACAACAACAACAACAACAACAACAACAACAACAACGACAGCAATCGGGATCTGGTGAGGCCCAGCCGACAGCGGCAGGGCGCGAGAGAAGGACCCGAAGAGGGCGCGAAATTCGTCTACCAGAGAGACTGAGGAAGGACTATGAAGTCTCATTTGCGGCGGTCCCTTGGGAGGTGTTCCACGTTGACGGGTATCGCATCCAGGATGAGATGGACGACCCAATTGCATTCGCGGCTTCCAACAACCCGGACATCATGTACATCGACGGGGCCATGGAAGCCGAAGATTCCAAGCAGTTCAAAGAGGCCATGGTGAAGGAAGTGGATTGTCACAGCGACTGGAAGCATTGGAAGATTGTCCCGAAGTCGGTGGTTCCTAAAGGAACAAAGCTTTTGCCCTCCGTTTGGGCATTCAGGCGAAAGCGCAGAATAGCCACACAGGAAGTGTACAAGTGGAAGGCCAGGCTCAATGTGCATGGAGGAAAACAAACGAAGTTTGTCAACTACTGGGAAACCTATTCGCCAGTTGTTGGATGGACAACGATACGTACGTTCCTAGTGCTCATGCTCGTGAACAATTGGAAATCCAGGCAGATCGATTTCGTGCTTGCTTTCCCGCAGGCAGACATCGAGTGCGCTATGTACATGGAGGTTCCACAAGGATTCAGCGTTGAGGTCGGCGCTGGAAAGCCGGTCCTGAAGCAAACAAGCAACAAACGTCGTTATCACGGAGATCATTGTCTACTGCTGGAAAAGAACCTTTACGGTCAAAAGCAGGCAGGACGCGTGTGGAACAGATATATGCACGACGGGTTGCTGGCACGTGGTTTCGTACAGAGTGAGATTGACATGTGCCTATACTACAAAGGGTCTGTTGTGCTACTTATCTACATTGACGACGGCATCTTCATCGCGCCCACCGAGAAGGAAATCGACCAAGCGTACGACTCATTGTCCAAGCCTTTCGTGGCCGAAGACGGGACGGAGTACAGAGCGTTCAGTATGACAAACGAAGGTTCTCTCTCTGACTATTTGGGAGTCAAGGTGGAAAGGCTGGCGAATGGATTGATCAAGTTGTCGCAACCACACTTGATAAAACAGATCCTAAGTGATGTTGGCTACAGTGAAAACACCAAGTCACAGAAGACTCCGGCGCTGTCTACGGTGAACCTACACAGAGACGTGGCTGGCAACGACATGGACGAAGAATGGCAGTATAGAAGTGTGATAGGCAAACTCAATTTTCTTGAGAAGTCGACACGCCCGGACATAGCCTACGCCGTCCATCAGTGCGCAAGGTTCTCAGCGGAACCAAAGGAGTCTCATGCCACCGCTGTCAAACGAATAGCCAGATATCTCGTTGGTACGGCAGAAAAGGGGATCATTCTCAATCCACAGGCTTGTGATTTTGATGTGTTCGTGGATGCCGATTTCGTAGGCAACTGGAACAGAGCTACTGCTGATGTAGACCCAGGTACGGCTCGTTCCAGGACAGGCTTCGTCCTCATGTATGCTGGTTGTCCTGTTACTTGGGGATCGAAACTACAAAAGGAAGTGGCCTTATCCACTACCGAGGCTGAGTACAATGCCTTGTCTGAGGCTTTGCGAGAAGTTATATGTCTCATGCACCTGACCGAAGAGTCAAGGAAACAACTACAGTGGAAGACACATGAGAGGCCACCCGTCGTCCATTGCAAGGTGTTCGAAGACAACAGTGGAGCGCTGGAAATGGCTAGGGAGCCGAAAATGCGGCCCAGGACAAAGCACATCTGCGTCAAGGTCCATCACTTCCGTGACTACGTTCGAAGCAAGAAAATTACAATACACAAAATACCCAGCAGGTATCAGTTGGCAGATATCGCCACTAAACCTCAACCTCTTGCGTTGTTCGAGTCGCAACGAGAGAGTATTCTTCAGTGGGAGGCAGAGACAATGACGAAGGAACAGTTGTTGCAGCCAGTAAAGCATCTGAGGGCGTGTGAGATTGTGAGAGATCATGAGATGCTCAACAACCTGGCTAGTCAGCCTGCTTCCTGCCCTGCTAAAGCATGAACATGTTCAACTGCTCCCAATTGAATAGTTGAATGATCAACAGTTGAGGATAGACAAACTAATGAGTAATATAGTCACAATATAGCATTCAAACCCTCAAAAGACGGAGACGAAGACAAAGACAAAGAAGAAGAAGTACAGTGTAGAAGCCCCATCCAACCATCTTGACCATGTCCTATCCGTATAACAACAATGCTGCCGGTGGATCCAATCCAGGCGTGTACATCCCTGGCCAGCCGAAGCAGCAGCAGCCACAGCAACAGGGTGGCTATCAGCCCTCTCCGGCAGCGTATGGGACTTCGCATGGCTATCAGCCCTCTCAGCAAGCGCAGTCGTATGGATATGTTCCCAACCAACAGCAGACTTACCAGCAACCGCAGAGCTACAGCTACACTCCAACTCAGACGTCCTATCAACCACAGACATCCTATCAGCCACAAGCAACTCAAACCTACGCGCCGACACCTTCTTACCAGCAGCAACCAACACCAGCCAGTGCCACATCCCCTGCTGCTACTGCGGCAGTCCCTTCCAGCACCACCAAGAGCCCCACAGACATTAGTCTCGTGGTAGTGGCCACCACTAGTAGTGGAGCCCCCACCACCATTCAAATGGAAGTGGATCCAACCGATACCACACTGGGAGACATTACCGAAATGATTGCCGATGAAATTGGAATTCCTGCACAGCTACAACTCATCAAGTACAAGAACAAAAACATGGACAGTCGAACATTGACACTCAAACAACTCAATTTTCCAGACAAGAGTCAGTTGGCTGTGTCACAGAAACAGCAGCCTTCTACTAATACAAATCAAGCTGCTGGTAGTACTGGTACTAGACCACAACAACAACAACAAAATCAACCCGAAGGAAATGAAGCTCTGCGAGCCGAATTTGACAAGATTGATTTGGACAAGAGTGGAACCATTGATCAAAAGGAACTCTCCAAGGTCTTTTTGGGATGGGCACCGGCATCACTCGTCAAAAAGGCAATGGCCATGGCCGACACCAATCGAGATGGGAAAATTGATTTTGAAGAATTTTGCAAAATTAGAAAACAACTGGGAGGAGGGTCCAAAAAGGGTGGTGGTAAAAAGTAAGAATGAAACGCAACAATGGGTCAGAGCAAGTTTTCAGAAGGGATCTTCCTGTGGAGTTCAGTAGTGATACGGATGGCATTATTTACTGGAGCTTGCATTTATTTAGCTCTTTGCACTAGTCTTCCATCTTTTCTGCTGAGTATACAGTGTAGCAGGAACACTGAATCAATCGTCACGACGTACATACAGCCTTTGTTCTTTTCCCATTCTTCAGAAGCTGCCATGCCATCGAAACCTGTCTCCGCCCTCATGCATGTGCTCCCTAGCTTGCTCTAATCCAATCTGGTGTCATGTGCGCCGCATTGCTTTCTCTTGGCATGCAGGCAACCAAACGTCACTGAAACCCACGGCACAATACAGTATGGAATTGAATCAGCTGACCCTGCAGGAACTCTGCGGGTCGACCACCGGTAGTACCGTACTGCGTTGCGGTGCACTCAAAGTAGTCTAGCTGCGGCTGGAGTACACCGCCACTGGCTGGCGGAAAGCTATCCTTTAGCATACCTGGTATGGTACCGGTACCGGTACGTGTACTCTGCTAAAACCCCTACCTGCTTCTGTGTGGTTAGCTTTGACCCTACTTGGCTGGTGGCGCTCTTGGGTTTTATTCACGATTTTGGTGGGAATCGAATCGAGAGTACCTCCAACGAACCAAGCCAAACAGATACTTTACTCGTGTAGTACAGCACCAGCGGAAGGGACAATGGACATCGACGGCGAGGGGCTCTTGTTGGAGCGAGTGTTGGAATGGATGATAATCGGTTTGGTAGGGTCCATCATTGTTTCGGCTTGGCTCTTGATTCCTCCCATTCTGCGGCCCACAGTCATTGCGTACCCATGGAGAATGCCAGAATCGTACTCGTATCGTGAGCGAGACAAGACCCGGACTGTAGTGCTAGCTGGTTCCTTTAACCCTCCCCACTTTGGGCACCTGGCCATGCTTGAATATCTTTCCAAGAGGTATGAACACTGAAAGCTGATTGGTGAAAGATGACGGAAGAATGTTGTAGCTCAAAAGATCTCCCATTCTTTCGCTGCTACTACTGTACTAGGTACAAGCAAGTCATTGTTGTAATCGGGATAAATCCGAACAAGATCTATGCGGTAACACCTGCTCAGAGAGTGGAACTACTGCGCAAAATGCTACAGGTGAAGAAGCTCGATAAGAATATTCGCGTAGAAGGTGCGTTTCCTTAGTAGCGAAGTGCCTTCGGTTTGTGAACGTGGTAATCTCATCAAATCGAACCTTTGTGTGGATTCAATACCAAAGTCTACGCTGGCTATATCTGGAGATATGCAAGGCAGCAAGGGGCAACAATATTCTTTCGGGGAATTCGTAGTTGGGAAAGGGACGGAAAAGAAGAACGGAGTCTGCAAATACTTAACACTTGGGGCCCACTCGTTTGTGGACCGTTTGTTTGGCCATTGCCGACAATTTTCCTTGAAGGAAAGCCAGAATACAACCATATATCTTCCACTTTAATTCGAGATCTTACCAAGGATATGGCAGGCACAGAGTCTGAGCACGTGGAACAGTCCTTACAGGATCTGGTGCCACCCGAAGTGGCCAAGGAATTGTCGGAACTGTACTCCAAAGAAGCCAAGAAAGCAAGCTAACTGCATCTCCAAAGAAGCCAAGAAAGCAAGCTAACTGCATTGCAGGCTGTAGACGGATGACGCCAACTGGAGACTGGTTCATTCGACCAGTATGTACTGAGTACCGTTCTTCGTTCCTAATAATGCATGGTTCTGACTGCAAAGTCGGGTGTGCAAAATTTGTCCAAAGAGCTGCTGACACACATTGTAAATTCCATTACAACATGTATTCCCTATAGTTACAAGTTATAGACTACTAAAAGTACTGCGAAAATAACCCCTGATCCGCTGTGTTCCTCTGAGCCAACCACAGGCATAGTTATCGCCTCCCATAGTTATCGCCTCCGCAGGGCTCCAAAGGACCGATGAAAAGGCAAACTTTTGTGTGCAGCCTCGATACCGCACCAATTCAATTCTGTTCTATCCGACGATACGAGCAGATTGATGGTTTTCCGGGTTCCACGATTTGATTCGATTGTCATTCCTTCAATTTCATGTGGACAAACTCGGATGTACCGGAGCTCAGAACGACGACCCGACCGTGTTGCTCGAGACTTTACATCAATTCCGTCAACGGTGGTCTGGAGCCACGAGAGATTCTGAGCCAAGATCACGAGGATTGCAGGCTGGACAGCGGTTCCTCTTGCCGGACGCCAATGATCGCCAGGAACCTCGATGGACCGGTTGGGAACATCAGGGTGATATGGTTGGGCATAGACTCCCTCACTCCCAATTCATTGGTTGGTCCAAATATCGTTGAAGATCGTCGATCCAATTGTCCAGCGCCCGCTTACTTCTGGGTCAACCCTTGGCTCAAGCCGGTGCAGCAGCATCAAATGTTCAATTCAACGACCACCACGGCTTCTCTTCCGGCTCGTCTTGCTTCCAAAAGGTTTTGGGCAAAGCTGACTTGATATCCCACGGATTGCTACCTGTCCGGTACCACTTCTTGGATCCATCCGGCCGTTTGTAAAAGTCATACCGCTCCTTTTCGTTCTCACTCATAAACGGCCACGAGAAAACTTTGGAAAGATCATTCATCACGGGTTGTGCACCTGTTTGCTTCTTGCTGATGTTGTTGTTGTTTGCTCCTCCAGTGGTACTGCTGCTAGACAAGGTGCCACGAAGGAGTTCCATGGGTTTCTGTTGTTGTGTCTCGCTCTTTCCCTTGGCTGTTGTCTCTTCGAAAAAGACTCCCACACGTCTCAACCATTCCGAGAACCAAGTAGGCCAAACAATGCCTCCCAGCACAACGGCTGCGACTCCCAACAGCAAGGGTGATGCCGCAAATAGTGCCCCCGTCAAATTGACAAAGGTCAGAGCTGCCAAGGAGGCTGCAATCCTCGGTCGCACCTTTTCCTGCCACTGGGACGGATCCACCAATTCTTGTCGCATGCCTTCGGAAAAAGCTTGCAGTTCCTTCAAAGCTTGACCTCTCTTGGCATATAGGTTCAGCACTCGTAGCTTGACGTATCGCCACGCATTGAAACAGTACTGGACGATACGATACCGGGATTGTTGGAATCGTGTACTGCTCTTTTTGAACGACTTTTCTTCCACCAGCCATACGGTTCGTAAACCTGCCAATATCTTGCGCCCCACTTCGTTTTCTTGCTCCCACAAGTCAAAATTCTCCTTGCCTTTTTGAAATCGCGCGTTCCAGGCGTCAATCTTGGATTGAATAGCGAATTGTTGATCCAACGCCGCATATTTCTTCCAGTAATCGTAGGACAATTGTCCCGTCTTGTACATGAACCAGAGACCGGCCACGAAATCGCGTATTTTGAGATATTGCAATGTCAAGGACCGTCCCAAGTAAACAATACCTTTGGAGAGTGCATGAGTCGGTGGTCGTTCGGCCAAGTTTTTGGTGGTTTCGTATCCATAGAGCCCTCCAAAGATGGCACCCAAGAGCCACAGATTGGGAACAATGGTGATCCCACCTAACAACCCCAATAGGGAGGCCGAAACGGTGCATCCCCATTTCAATTTTGCATAACTCAAGACACTGGGTTGTGGAAAGGCAACTCGTCGACCCGACGTGGTTGCCACCGAGGACGACGATGCACCACTCTTCGAGGGAGTAGTAGTAGTTGTTGTTGTCGTGTCCACGGCCAAGTCTGCCACGGATTGAAATCCCCCACTGCTCCGAGTCATGACACGTCGTCGTCCTCGACCCACTTGAGATGCCGTGGCTGTCGTTCTTGGCACCACCAATGGCATTTTTTTCGCGTCAGTCGACGATTGTTGCAAATCGTCTTGCTTCACATAACCGTTGAGTCTCAGGTAGGCTTCCAATTCCTCCACGGACATTCCGGATCCTCTGTTGTTATTGTTATTGTTATTGTTGTTAGTGGTGGTGGCCACGGCTTCTCCCAACACTTGTGTTCCGTACTGCAAGAATGCTTTTTGTGCCGAATCCAACTGTTTGGACGCATTGGTAGATGTTTCCCAGAGCATTTTCTGGACGGTTTCCATTTGTTGCTTGGTAAAATTGGCCTGGCTGTCCAGAAATGCCAACGCTGCCTTGGTATCGTAATTGGGATAGTACGGGACTTTGCTACCATTGGCCAGAAAAATGGCCGGAGTCAACAGTGTTGTCACATTGGTGGTCGAGTTGTTTTTGTTGTTGTTGTTGTTGCTGTTGAGCACCGTGGTGGATGGGATAAAGAATGGCGGCAACGTCGTGAAGAATTTGTTGGCTTCCAATATGGACGGCCGTGGGGTATACGTCTTTTTCTTGCTACTGCTGCTGCCCTTGCTGTTTTTGCGGGGTATACTGGTACCCTTGACGACGACATCCGGGGAAGTAGTATCATTAGATACCACCCAGTTGATTGTACTTGCCGTTTCATTGGGGTTGATTCCAAGTTTAAAGGCAGGATCCGACAGCGTCATTGGACCCAGGAGTTCCAAGGCATCATGGAACTCCTCAGACAATTGGCCTTGTTGATTGTCTAGAAGATTGTCTTGAATATTAGCCGAAAAGAACACAGGACTAAGGACATCCAGTTCCATAGCTTCAGGTTGTTGTTCCTTTAGTTCTGGTGGTGCATGAATAATATTGTCATCAGCAGCTTCATGTGTTGATTTGGGGTTGTGCAAGTTGTGATCATTATCACTGCCACTGATATGCATACCGGTACTGCTCAGGTTCATCATTGAGGCATGCTCTGGAAGAATTTTGGGGATTTCCTGTAGGATATTGTCATTGGTATCATCTGTGCTGCTGCTATTGTTGTTGTGGTGTTCCTGAATTTGCAGAGCAGTAGTATCAGTTTTGTTTTTGTTGTTCCGATTCTCTTTTTCGGACCTTCCAATCATCCTGTAGATGGCCTTGTTGAAAAATAAATGTCGCTGGGTATTTCTTCTTTGGGTAGCATGGCTAGCAGCACTGATTCTTCCACCACCAACATTACTGGCATGATCCTTGTAAATCTGGGCCAGTTGTAGTTGTGGGTGGTGTAGGTGGTGGACTGGAGAAAAAGCGAATGCTAACCCCAACATAATTCCCCAACCAGCCACAACAAAGGGAACCAGCTGCTTCTTCATCTTGATAACACTGGTGGATCAGCCAGTCTAGGGAGCCAACCCACAAGGCAGTTCCAGTTGCTCTTTGAAGCAATCAAAAATGGCTGGATGTCCAGGTCCAATGCCTCAAATTCGACCAGAAAAGGTTTTGTCTTGTGGATGGATGTGCGCCACGGTACGACTGAAGCTAGTCTACTACTAGAGAAGAAAACCTCTCATTCAAGGTACCTTGGAGATTCCATGAGTTGAGTCTCTTTTACTCTCCTTTCTCTTCTTTCTCTTCCTATCGCACTTTTCCTTGGCCATTCCCAGAAACTTACAGTGTGATGTTTGACATTCCATTCAAGCCCTATTTCAGCGATGACACCACGCACAAAACTCGGTGTCATTTGGAGAAAACGAGAAAACTGGCAGGAGAGGGCGAAGAATAGATCTACCCTCAGTTTTATGATAAATTATATCTGTGTGCCAAATATGCCACCAGTTAGTTGTACACAGTTGGGTGATACGGTAGCCGGTAGCCCCAGCAGAGTCCAGGTCCCTTCCATAGAACCTTTGCTCTAGCAAGGAGCCACACATCCCACACTTTAGATGATTATTGTATGGCAAGCAAAAAGTCGTGCAGTGATTGCGTTGCAACATACCGGCAAGCTCTCTAGCTAGCTAGCTAGCAGCTAGAGAATCCTGAGTTTGGTCAACAGTAACAATGGCCCTCTCACTGGGTTGATTCGCCCCCCTCTGTGGTTTCAAACACTAGCTTCAGACAAATTTTGTATCCCTGGAACCATTACTAGCACTTTACTACTAGTAGTACGCTACTAGAGTACCTGGTCTCTGATGATACGGTAGGCCTCCTTACTATTCCTGATTGTACGGTACTGCTACTAGCTAGCTTCTTCCGTAGATTAATTCCCTACTCTAGATCCCCTAATTCTACAGTATTCTATTCTAGCTTCGTAGCTAGTGGGTAGCCAGCTGTCCCGTAATGTACCGTACCAGAGCTACAGTGCTGAGGAAGAGCGGTAACACTGGGAAACTCCATCGCACAAAACAAAAATAATCATACCGGTACGGATGAGTGATGACTTCCAGTTAGGCTCACAATGAGGTGGATGGCTGTTGCGGTGAATTGCACAATGTTCCCAGCAGTGAAGCAGCTAGCTAGCTAGCCAGACTAGCTAGCAGGCAAAAGAATATGCACTACTAGTAAACCGACTTCGAGTACATTCTTTTTTTTCATTCTGCCGACCATTGCCAGAGCCTGGAACCTGCAGCGAGATGTATTGTAATGAAGTATCTTAACACAAAGGACAACGCAATGAGGAACATTCGTCACCAGACACCAGATGCCCGCACAGTCATTGAATGATATTTTCTGGTTGGCGTGAGAGTGATGTGAGTCCCACTGTCTATTTATTTGTAACGGCCTGTGAACTGGTGATTGCTGGGGAGTGGTTTCCGAGACAATTGGAAGGGGGCAGTGTGACACAACCAAAAACTAAATGTTAAATCTTCTGGAGTAGTGCGCGCCAGAAAGACGGATTTCTGTTAGGCCAGATGGCGGGCTGGACAAGACTGTGGATGTTTCAGTAGCTGATCGAATTTTCTTGTAAAAGGGACTGCGGTGATACAGACAGACCATGGTGTTGTTGTCGGGCCGTTTGTTTGTACCACTTGGGAGCGGCGTTCCATTGAAATCTCTGTGTTGCGGGTTGTCTCTGTTGTTCCAGTTACGGTAGTTAGTCTACTAGCGTCAAGACAAGAGACCACCAGTGCGAGTGCTCTATTATTGGAGCCTGCCTTGGACCAGGAAATAGAAGAAAGCGCTAGCTATCACAAGTTTCTGTCTCGATCGAGGAGGCCGAATTCGTTAGTCTATTCATTCTACAAAAGAAAAGAGTGGAGGGGAAAGTTCAGTCTAGCTAGTTGACGATGCCGTCTTACTTTGACAATCTGCGAGACGAAGAGTACCATCCCAGCGGCAGTCGTAGTAGAAGTCGCAGTCGCAATACATGTAATGATGGCAGTGATCAAGAGTACTTGGACGAATCGTACGATCGGTTCAGTGATGAACCCGACTCTCGTGACTCTGGCGGAAGAGGCCCTCAGGCGCCATACACGTCTTCTTCTACTAGTCGAGAGTACGGAACTACTACTACTACTTCGAACAAGAAGAAGAAGAAGAAGAAGAAACCCAGTCAAACGTCTTCGTCGGATGAACATGATTACACAAGTTCCACGACGAGTGCCATGAGTTACAGTCGATCGTCTTCCAGCAATCCAAACAACAATAACGGTGGGAATGACATTTACGCGGCATACACCAAGAATAAAGAGAAGAAGAATGATCTGTTCGAAGCGTATCGAAAGCTGGCAGTCATCCACACTGGGAATCCAAACTCCAACGGGCGAGCCAGCACCACGATCACCAGGAGTACTACTACTGGCAGTGGAAACCAAACCACCATCACTAGCAACCATGATGAAGAAGAACATGCCAGTGCCAGTACTCAATTGAGTACAGAAGAAGAGGAACATTCACAACTACAACACTCCACAGAACCACTCCACAAAGGACCTACCAACATGAGAATTGACACAAGTGCCAACAATAGCTCGGCTGCGACTTCCAGCAAGAAGAAACAAAAACAAACCAAGCAAAAGACACCTCCATCATCAACATCATCATCCACACTGGCACCGGACTATGGAGCTCCAGAGTTCCCACCTCCCACAGCAGCAACAGCAGCACCACCCAAGACCAAGAGAAAAACCATCAAAAAGAAAGCTAGCACTGTCAGTACGGCCAGTCGCTCTGGTACGGGAGGAAAATCACCTTCTCCTGTACTGCAACGGCCTCAAGAGCCAACGCAGCAGCAGGATGACGACACGCTCTTGCACAGTAGTCACTCCGGTCCAAACAACAACAACAACAACACTACCAAAAAGAAGAAAAAGAAACAAACCAAACAGCAACAACAACCAAAGCCCCAAGACCCTCCGACGTCGCCTCCGAAACCCACTCATTACGTTCGTGTCACGGACTACGAACAGCCTAAAAGACCCAGCAAAGCACAATCGCAGCAACATCTTCTTCATGACACTAGCAATTCCACACCACCTCCACAAATATATGCGCCGGCACAGCAAGACAACAGCAACAATCAGAGCCCCATTCCACCACTCGCAAAGATCGAAGACGAGAGTAGCCGCAACACGGGACCTGTCATTCCACCACATCCTCCCCTGGGCGTCGTACACAGTCCCGTCAAAACACCGCACCCGCCCTCACAAATACGATGGGCCAGCAACTCGTACCAGTATCAGTCGCAACAATCCATGACACATCAACAACAACATCCACCCATTGGAATGGTCGAACAGGCGCCACCACGGCTTCGTGGTCCCCAAGAATCCGTCAGCACCATTGACAACGAGGACCTCGCTAGTCTAGACCCAAAAAACTTTCAACTCAAGAGTTCGCTCGATCGAGGATCCATAAAAGATGTCGCTCACTACAGTAGACGAATGGATGTAGTCAAGGAAAATCTCAGACGAAACATTACCATTGAAGAACCATCCGAGAAAAGTGGAATCGACAACAGCAAGAACAAGGAAAAGAGAAAGACTGTCAAACGCGGCGTGAAAAAGGATAGCAGCAGAAAGAGCGTCGCCGATGATGCATCCTCGTCGGAATCCAGTAAATCCTCCAAGGGTGGAATCATGGCATTCCTATCCACATTCAAGGGACATCCCAAAGCCAGAGAAAGAGATCACCTCACCGAAAGTGAACGAAGGGCTCGTGACAATCCGTTCTTGAATCGGCCCACCGGGATCAAACTTTCTAACACCGTCGGTCTACACAAAAAGGAACGCAAAGGCCATGACTTGGACGGATCGTCGCGGAGTGGAAGTTCATCCAGTCGCAGTCGATCCATGGCCACTCATTCCCTCGCTGGAACCAGCTATTCCTCCTACGAGAAAACCTTGCAAGAAAAGTACTGTCCGCTACCAACACCCGTCAAGAAGATTCAACAATTCTGTGGCAAAATTGTCACCAACACCAACTTTCAAGTCTTTATGATCTTTCTCATCATGTTGAATGCACTCGTGCTAGGTATTGCCACATACGAATTCGAAAACCCAAAAGTGCCAGAAGTTTTGGATTACATCGACAAGGTACTGTTGGTCATTTTCACCGTGGAACTCGCACTGCAATTTGGATATTGTGGAGTCACGCTCTTTCTGGACGGATGGCTTGTCTTTGATACACTCACCGTCGTGACCAGTTGGTGGCTGGAAGGAGTACAAGTCTTTCGGTCCTTTCGCATTTTCCGATCCTTTCGATTGATTGTTCGATTGCCATTGCTCAAGAACTTGGTCTTGACCGTATTTCACGTCATGCCAAGAATCTATTCCATTTTGGGATTGCTTCTGCTCATCTTGTACGTCTACGGTGTCCTCTGTACCATTCTGTTTGGAGACATGTACGAATTGGGATTGACCGACAAGAATTATTTCAGTCGGCTCGATTATTCCGTTTTTACATTATTCCAAATGGTGACGCTGGAAGGTTGGGGTGATATCGTCCGTCAAGTGCGAGCTGTCCATTCGAGTATCGCCACCATGATCTTTTCGTCATTCATCATTTTTACCGGATTCATCATGTACAACTTGATTGTTGCCGTCATGTGCGATTCGATGCTTGTCATTGAAGCCCAAGGACGAGAAGAAATTCGACAGCAGCAGCAAGAAAAGAAACGATTGGCCGAATCGGCCAAGGAAGAAGAGGAAAAGAGAATTATCGATGAAATGCTGCGGCAGAGAAAGGAGGACGGAATTCGCCGACGACGCCTCCTTGGTCTCGTCGGGGAAGATTCCACCGTGAGCTATCACGAGAGCACCACTCATCGGTCCGGTCACGAGCACGATGAGCCAAGCTGGGAACACATGTCAGATGTGGAAGAAGAAGAGGAGGAAGACGAAGATGAGATCGAGTGGAGGGAAGTCATGTGCGAGCATTGCGAGGGTTTCTTTGAAATCCACAAATATCCACCGTCCGTTCGAAGACGAAACATGTTGCGGGATGAGTTGATGGCGAAGAATCAAGAGCGTATTGGTCAATTGCAACAAAAGGTGGCACAAATGGCCGAAACGCAGCAGCGAGTTACGGCCGTGCTGCAAACGCTCATGCATGAAATTGAAGCGAGCCGAATGAGGGCAATGAACGATGGCAGTGCCATGATGCTCATGGGGGATACCAGCATTGGCGAGGATACGCATAACGAGGAAGAGCGAGTGCGGTTGGGGAAGGATCAGTGAGATCGCATGAAGTTGACGGTGAAGTTGGTTGGGACAAAATCTTCACCCTGTACGAGTACATATTAGACATGACAAAATGCTTGTCCTCGCGCCTTGCTGCAATTCCTTCCAAGCCTCGTGCCTGACTAGAAAAAACCTGTTGCCACCTCTTGCCGTCCGGGAGTGACCATCGTGCAGTGCATCAGGATCACGGCATGGCAAAATTTTCTGCGGCAGCTTGTGTTGCTTGCTTGAAGGGCTTCAAAGCTCCCGCGCGGTGTATGCCTACATTTTCAGTATCCAATAGGGTAACATGCATATACTTGATTGTACACTGATTCATAACAGACGCCTGCCATATTTTACAACTATTTGTTCTTCGCTGGCTAGCTAGCATGCGAGGAGGCCCAGAGAGGAAGGGGCCGGTTTTTCTGCCATTTCAGCGACGACCAGCTCAAGCTGAAACAACAGTTTATCCATGTAGCCTATCTAGCTAGACGAGCGAGAACACGAGCTTGACAGCTAAATGAAGCTACGGTACGTCTTCGACACTGCAGGAGAAAATGACATCTCGCTACTGTAGGCGCATTGATCACTCTCTCGGACATCTGGGTAAATTTAACCAGTCAGGTTCGCCGGAGCAGCAAAATTCGCAGGTCATGAATTTTCGGCTTCGATATGATGGAAGCAAACGAAGGTTCCAGTACAAACATCCTCGCAAGATACCGGTACCTGGTACCATCAGACACGGCTGGCTATGGGGCAACTACCTCACAACCTGCCACCACTACATACCAGTACAAAATGCTGCGGCGACTCCGCAGCAGCGATCTTGAAGTTGAATAATTTACAGGAATTGTTATTGGTGCCAACAAAAAGAACAGGGCTTTGTTCATTGTCTCCGGCAACCTCAAGGACGAGCGAGATGGCTGCCAGCAAGACAGCGCAAAACTCTCGGTTGACAGAATCCGCGTCACGCAAACTTTCTGAAAGTTCTAAAATCTGGCGCCAAGAGCTCATGATTTGCTTGACTCCTTCTTGCCATCTTTGCTGTCGCGGCCATCTTTGCTGCCGCTGCTATCATCGAGCGCCTCCATCTCCTTGCACATTTCATCCAGAGTACTGAGAATCTCTGCTTGGGTCTTCGTCAGTTTGTTCAAGCGGTACTGAACACGCTTTATTCTGTGCCTGACCGGTCTCCTTTTCTTTTTCTTTTCAGCACTGCGGCCGCGTTTCTTCTTGCGCTCCAGCTCACCCGAAGCGAGTGTCTTGGCTACCATGGTAGTCCTTGGTGATCGTGCTTGAGAGAACTCTGGGACCGGTGATTCCAGGGAGTCCTCCTCGGCAACTGTGACATCTGTGAGGTTGCGACGAGGGTTTTCGCCTGTCGCGGGGTCCGATTTGGCGGTTTCCGCCGACTTATCACTAGAAGCCGATTTTCCAGTCGCAATCGACCTGTGGCTCTCGTCTGTCATTGATCCCTTCGACGTCCTTTGCGATTTCCGTACTAGATTCGGATGAACACCCCTCGAGGGTGCTCCCAGGGGCGGCGGAGTCCCCTGTACAGGATCTCCGATTGGAGCAAAGATCCCCTCAAAGAACCCCCTTTTCTTCTTCGGCTTAGCGTAAGGGTTTGGAGGTGGAGTTGCCCTTGCTGATTGCGCCGAAGACACCTTGTTGGGGTCCGTCGAAGATTTCCAGGGGTCCAACTCGGGTTTTTGTTTGGAGTTCCGCCTGAGAAAAGCAAGCGGCCTAGAGCTTCTCCTGCCCCTGCTGGAGCTGTCGTTTTCGAGGCCCATCGAACTGTCAAAATTGAATGACGAGTCATAGTTGTACGACGAATCCATTGCCGAATCATAATTTGATGATTGGTTCGCTCGTTCCTCCCTCTTTTGTCGACGAAGGGCCCTGCGCCGCTCCCGTTCCACCTTGGCTTGTTGCTTGAGTTCAAGTCGAATTTTGGATTCGACGGCAAGGAAGGAATCGCAAACAACAGCCACCACTAAACTGTACAAGATGAAGCCCGACACAGTCAAGAAGAGGCCAAAGATGTACTTGGCGAACGGATCGACTTCCATGATGTCGCGCACAATGTCAGCCCAGCCTTCCAGAGTAACAAACTGGAACAGCGTGAATAGAGATTTATCCAGGCTCCCAAAGTAGTCGTCATCTGTGATCCCCCGTTCGAAGAAGTCTTTGTAGAGTGTAGTGGACATGACAGCGAAAATGTAGATAAGCAAAGTGAACAGCCCGACAATGGCAGAGATGCGTGGGATCACATGAAAGACAGCATATACAAGACTCTTGAGGATTGGGATCCTGACAACCAGCCGGAAAGCCCTAAAGATTCGAACGGATCGAAAGACTTGAACACCATCCATGGCCCAACTGAGAAAGACGGTGACAAAGTCGAACAAGAGCCAACCATCATAAAAAAGTTGGTATCCCCAGTAGCCGAATTGCAAGGCCAGTTCGACCGTGAACATGATGAGAAATCCCCTATCGACCATATCAAAAACGTGGTTGAGATGCGGGTCCTTATCGATAAAGTCGAAGGTCGCCAGACCCATGCAGATTGAATTGGCGACAATAAGGAGCACCATGAGTATTTGGAAGGTGTCGTTGAGGACAACCACTCCACACCAAGCTCGAATCACGACGAGCCAGTCTGGCATGAATCGTTCGAACCATTTCAGTTCCTTTGGTCCTGTATCTTCGACTTGTTCATTCTCAGTCAGGTTAACATTCCATGATGCCTGCGAGCTAACACTAGTGTCCATGTCATCCCGATGGTTCTGTTTGTAGCTGCTATCCATGCCTCGCGGTCGCCGTCGAGAACTTCCTTCCATTGGTGATGATGATCTCCCAGTCCTTTGATGACGTTCATTGCTGTCCGCGCTTCGGGTGCTGTCGAATTCTGATGCCATAGAGCCCCTTAGGTCGCGACTATCGAAGGACGTTGCGGAACTCGATTGCTTGGATCTAGCACGCGAGCCGTCTTCGTCATCATCGCTGAGTCCAGCGGGTCCTCTTAGTTTCTGTTTGGGGCTGTTGGAGTCGTCTCGGAGAGAGTTCATAATCTCATTTCGGGCTCTTCGCGATACTTGCCAATTCTTGTCCTCTGTTTGTGCCGATGCGGTGTAGTCTGCATCTAATGGTCTTGACGACGACGAAGATGCGCCGCCGGTTGTGTCGCCTTCGTCCGGGCCACTCCTAGATGACCGTCTTTGCGTGGGTTCTTCTTTGAACTTTACCTTTTTGGTGCTGGGTCCTCCTCGTTGTGCTTTGGGTCTAGTGATGGGAGAGGAACGGCTATGATTGCTGTTGGATGCCAGGCTATTGGTTTTGCTGGGAGGAAGATTGGTGGGACTGCTAGGGCGACTGCTATTGGGTGTTCCGCTCCTCCCAGAGTCTGACATTCCCGATGACCAGTTCGTGGATCGTGATCTGGCAAATTGGAATATTCCATCAACAATGTTGGTAACCTTGACCCTCATACTGTCAATGCCTTCAACTTCTACTTGTTGTTCTAGCGGTTGCGGCGATGAGCCTTGACGAGAGGCCCTGCCATACATCTCTTGCTGTTGGTCTGACATGGTTGTTGCTGTTTTGTCGACCGTGCTAGGAGAATCGACTTGTCCTAAACAATCTTCCGTACAGCAAAAGCCGTCGGTAGTCACCTTGGTTGTGTCTATTTTGGCTCTCTGCGAAAGAGGGCCAGTGCAGTACTGTTCGATACAGTCCTGTAGGTGGGACCCAAAAAGTTCGGAACAAGGTGGGCTCAGGACTGCTCTGGTTGCTTCAGTGATGCTCCCGATCTCTTCAGCCTCTCAACTGGCTTCCCCTGAACGGTTGCCTGGTTGCTTCTATCGAGTAACCAAGCTCACCGACTAGACGGAAGTCTTCTGACGATTGTTTAGTGCTTTTGTGACGAAAGAGGTCAGGATGTCTGAAGCATGCTTTTCTTCTCGGCGAGGCTACTCTTTCGGATCAGACAGCCTGAGCTTTGGCTACGACGGAGCAGAGCAGAGTCGAGTCGCGTAATGTGGATTGAGAGATGGAGGAGGAACCAGGAGGAATAGTAACACTTCCTGAGAGGACTGCCACTCGTGACTCAGCTGTCGGACAGTCTCTTCTCTTCTCGGATGGGAGGACCTTGCAACTACTGTCGTCGACCTTTCAACAACTCTGTCTAGCTGACCACTACCACACAACCACACCGACTACTGTAGGGCGTCAACACAAAGACTTGTGCAGCTGATGACTGTCACCGCAAGGTGTTTCTTTCGTCTGGTGTCGTGGTAAATTCGCTGGCTTGGAACCGACGACGGTGCTCCACAACCCGGACCTGATGAACCACCTAACTTGAGCGACTGCTGCTTGATTGAGAGAGCGACGATGCGTTCCTATCAATAGCAACAGTTGAGAGCCTCTGTGGGTCAAGGAATCACAGGCAGCAACAAGGGCCTGTTGCCTTTCTTTCTCTTTTGCGGCTCCGGTTCGTTGATGTCCTTGTTGCGCCGCCGCTGCTGAATGGCAGTCAGTACAATACCGCAGGGGAAATTGAATGTGTGTTGGGGAGTCATTCTCCTGACGAGCCTGCCGGTCCTCGGATGTTACAGAATTTTCTTAACAACCATCGCCCCTCCTAATCAACGAACATGGCGTGCGTTAACTTTATGTCACACAGCGATGAGGCTCTTATTTCTTGATGACGTCAAGTGTGACTACGGTGTCAGTGAAATGTCGTACTTGAACTCTCTGTGACTGAAACGTTTGGGACTGGATCCAACTGGGAGGCAGGCAGCAGGCAGAGTCTTGCGTCTTTTCAAGCCTTTCCGAAGGTTCCAGACTGCATTTGGATGAGATGCAGGATGCAGGCAGCCCTGGTCGATGGAAAGCAACCCATCTGTGAGATGTCATCTGGTACTGGCTAGCGTGTGGATTATCTTCAGCTAGTTTGGTACCTACCAGTTCCTTTTGCAACGATTTACGACCATAGGACGCTCACTTTCGTGTGTATCGGTACCCACAGACTGCGATGGACGGTCCAGCATCTCAATAGGGTTTCTACATGTTTAGTTTACATCGATTGGCATTGTACCAGTGCCAACCTAATTATTAAAATCCACAGTGAAGTAGACATACATGAATATACAGCCAGTACTCTCCTCACTGCCAGCACGGGAGTGTGGAAACGGAAAACGCACATCTCTCTCTTGTGGACTCTCAATTCCAAACACAGATCTGAGTTTCAGGATCGCAACAACTCGAGCAACAGTCTTGTTTGCAGGAAATCAGAGGTGCTCTTTCTTGGCCATCTTCGCCTCCGGTGGAACCAGGTGGCGTGCAGTCCGCCACTAGCTCGGTCAATGTATTGGGACCTTTCAATTGACATATGGAATCTGGCACTGTGCCCACGAAACTGTTGTCCTGCAGTTGAACATGAACCAAGGACCGCAAACGGCCCAGTTCACTGGGCAGACTGCCTTGAAAGCGATTGCCATCCAGCATGAGCGTTTGCAAATCACCCAGGCGTCCAATCGCGGGGCTCATGGTGCCAGTAAAGTTACAACCGCTCAGAACGAGGTGCACGAGATCTCGAAGATTGTAAAGTTCGTCGGGGATAGTCCCTTGTAACTGTGTGTTGGAAAGGACAAGGCCAATGAGATTGGTCAAGAGACCAAACTCACTCGGTAAGGATCCTGTGATCAGTTCGTTCGATGATGCATCAAAATATTCAAGCTGCGTCAGAGTGTTAATCTCTGGTAAGCGTCCCTCGAAACGGTTATTGTTGAGGAGGACTTGTTCTATACGCGAAATAGAAGCACCAAAAAGTGAGCGATAGGATTGGAGGTTCGTCCTGATCAAAGCCTTGGGGCACTTACTCAGACTGGACATCAACGATACATCCGACGGAATCTCCCCCGAAAACAAGTTGTGATCAAGCCACAAGTTTTCCAGATTGACCAGGGGAAATGTCGCCACTGCAGGCAAAGATCCAGTAAGGGAGTTGTACGCTACGTCGAGCGAAAGCAAATTCGTCAAGACAGCCCACGAAGATGGAACGTCTCCCGTGAAAGAGTTTCGTTTCATCCGCAAGACACGTAGACCGGACAGTTCTGACAGCTCTGGTGGGAGGCGGCCTCGGAAGCCATTATCACGCAATGATAGGGCTGTCAGATTTCGCAGCTTGGAGATGTACGCGGGGAAGGTCCCAGACAGATTGTAGCCATCTGCGGTACCACAACATAGAGAGCGATTCGGTCGGACAGGAAAGCAGAAGCTGCTCGATGAGATGTGCGGAACAAGTACAAAGGCAGCCACGACAAACAAGACGACACTCACTCAAGCTCAGTTCATTCACTTGCGAGGCTTCGCAATAGACGCCTGCCCATTCACACTCGTGTTCACCGCTCAACCACCGAATATGCCAGGGAGACTCGTCGTATTCTTCGTCGAATGGTTTGACATACCGATACGAACAAAAATGATTCTCTCTCCCTCGAGCCGGATTACAAGACACCCATCGACCTTCTTGGCTTGTGTGGAAGTAGAAGTAGGCCATCAGAAACCGCTGCAAAAGATTGCCCGATGACGCATTGAGATCCAGGGTGTCTTCCGTAACCAGCCACTGTAACGCCTTGGAGTAGGGACTCAACGAAACGCGTTTCGTTTGGTTCTGGGTCGGCCTGAGCAACGATTTCGAGATCTCCAATTCCTCGCGAATGCCAAACTCTTGATCCAGCCGTTCTTGTATGGCACGCCCTCGTTCCGTTGCCGGAATAAAAGTTAAAGCCGCAGCACCATTTGGGAATCCAACGCTTGGGTCATAGGTAACTTTCGTAGACGTACGAACCACCACAACGGCCACAATGACTCCCACAAACAATAGAAAGAACAGCAGACCCAACAAAACGAAGTGTCGTTTGCGCAGAGGCAGCTTGAAGAATTTGGTTTCACCATCCTCTGCTGTACGCAGACGATGGCGTTGGCGTGAAGGGTCCGATGTGTCTACAGGATCTGCGGTAGCAATGTTTGTCGTATCGGTAGGTTGTACTGGATGCGCCTGAACCAACCCCCGATGCGAGGGCTCTGGCCGAGTGTCTCCCGTCATCGTTTGGGGTGGCTCCTGCGGAGCAACAGCAGCAGTTGGGGGTGGATTTTGACTGCTGCTCATGAGTGACGAGGCTGTGGTTATACTCATGCCGCTGGAAAGTGTGTGACTTCGATTGGCAGCCGCAGAAGATGACATGGAAGTGGACGCTGACATGGCGGGAGCACCCATACGGAAAATACCGGATGACGCCGAAGCCGATGATGAAGATGATGGTACGGACATTTCTGGCAGACTGTCGTGTTGTGGTGATGTTGCAATGTCTCCTGCTCCATAAGGGAGAGGAGAAACTCGGGCAGATGGACCACCTGCGAACGTGTGCCGTCGCGTGAGAGCTGGTACATCGACGACAGGTGGCAAAGCCTCTTCCTGTTGTTGTGCGGATTGCGACGCCATGCCAATGGAGGAAACGTCGGACACGGTTGTCGCGTTGGATGTGTGTCGCAGCAGACTGGTGGCACTCGCAGCATCCGTCCCGGGCAACGAATCGGCTCTGGATCGTGCCCGACGAATGGCCACTTGTCCGGGTGCCTGATGGTACGCTCCGGGTCGCACAAATGTAGCTCTTCGTCGCGCCACATTATAGGGATCTTCTTGTGAAGAGGATCGATTCAGTGCATCCAATTCCTCCAAAATGGATTGTTCTTGTACGACTGGCAAGGCACCGATTCCCTGCAATAAACGATGTGGATCAAATGCTGCTGCTGCTGCTGTACTATTACCACCACTTGTTCCGGCCAATTTTTCTTCAAGCTCTCGTTGTTGCGTACTAAAGGAATCGCTGTTGTCGTCTTGCTTGTGTCGTTCGGGTGGCAAAGCCGCCGCTGACATTGCTACGCCTCGTTTGGCCAATACCATATCCTCTAATTCCTGCAACGATTCTCCAACGTCCTCCTCCTCATCGGCAGCTCGTGCCACGGGTGGCGGTGGAATAAATTCGCTGGCAGCCTTGAGTTTGGCATCTTCGTCCGCCTGAAAGGTGGCCGCCGCAATCGTGTCTTGCAAACTACTACTATTATTGAGGTCGTCGTGTAGATGTTGTTGTTGTTGCTGCTGAAGACTGTGCACGGTAACAGACGACGATCCACTGGAATGTCCTTCGGATGCTGCCAGTAACGAACGAGCATGTTCGTAATGAAACGCGTGATTGGCCATGGTCGTGCTGAGAGTTGTTAACGAGGAGGACGTTGTGGTGCGTGCCCTCAGCTCTGTAGTGGGCAAGGCCACCAAGGAATGATTGGTGCTGTTATTGTCGTCATAGTTGTTGTGAACATTGAGAAGAAACTCCTCGTCATGCGATGGATCAATCATGTTGGATGTTGGCATGGCGTTGGTAAGGCCCGACACGGCATTCTCGAGTGTCGTTGGAGCTGGCAGCACTTGGGAGGGTATCGAGACAACCGAAGCGGCATAGCCAATGGTGGATCCATCGTAGGTCGCGTCTTCCGAATTGACGGCACCTCTTGGAGCGGCGGATGAATTTCGAGACGACGCCGTGACAGTGGGAAAACTGAATGTGGAAGTGGTTGTGGTGGTATTGGTATTATTCCAGGCACTACTACTGTTGTTGCCAGATCCATCGGAGGAGGAGGCAGCGGATGATCCAGCAGCATTATTTGTTGGATGGCTGGGGTTGCTCGAGTTGGAATACTGCAAACTGGTAGTGCTTCTTCTCTGTTGATGCTGAAGTTGCCTATGGGCTGCAGGTCCAATGGATGGCGTGGACATGGACTCTGACAAGCTGTAAGCATCATGTACATGAGCTAAAAAGAGCGCATTCTGGTCCAGAGCCAAGGAAGTGTCTGACTCTATGGTAGCACCATCCAGTCCACTGGATGTGGTACTGTAGCCTGCTAATGATCTGGAGCTCGTCGTTCCTGCTGAAAAAGACGCAGCAGAGGAACTCGATACAGACGCAGTATTGTGGGTGGATTGTCTTGCTGTTGGAACTGAGTTCTCCCCAAGAGGAAGAGGTCCCCAGGATTCCAATTCTTCTTGGGGACCAACTCCATCGATTCCAGCTGATACTGATGATGCCACGCTCGCCATCTTGCTCTTCAAGTTAGTTGTTGACTGAGGTTTACTGCTAGACTAGTAGCCAGCTCTGGAAACCTCCTCTTTGCCTTTCTCTCGCTCTATTGATCCGCCGTTGCTTCTGGGAAACTCAATTCCGCAAAAACGAAAACCCTAACCCTACTGCGCGAACAAGGGTATTTCGGGTGGGGTGCTTGGGAAAGTCAACAACAATGAGCCAAGTACTGTTCTTCAAAGCCACATCGCTCCCTTCAAGTCCTTCAAGGTCGTTGAATAGCAAACGCTAGCTAGGACGTGTACTGAGTCGAGTGTGCGACGAGGGACGTCTGCGCTGGTTGCTTCGAAAATAATTGGTCTGGTTCCTCTGGTTTCAATCTTCTGGTGGCTAAGCGCACTCTTGAGGTAGGGACCCGTAGGAGTGCTTCCAAGCTCTGCAGTGTCCGCGAGGCACTTTTGCTATGGACCTATCCAGTTTGCTGGCTAGCTAGTAGAGTAGACTTGTGATGGTCTCTTGCTTGATTGTCGACAGAGGGGAAGGTGCGCTGTTTGCCGTTGCTTTGTGTTCCTTGTGATTGTTGCTGCGGCGCTGCCATTGTGCTAGCGTAGCTGGGTCTTGCCAAACACTGGACGCCTGGCACCTGTCGTGGTGAAACTTTGAAGCAGGAATTTATTCATGAACAGGCCATCACTATAAGTCTACTTTACTGTACATTTTCTCAATGACCTTTTACAAAGACTCTGGGGCACACAGCAGGGTAGCACATGTTACTTATTAACCGAGCCATTGGTATTTTGGGTTAAGGATACACGTACAAAAACAAAACTAATGTTTGTGATTTCAAAACACCACATGGCATGATTTTAATAATAATAATAATAACTGAACCATTTACGAGCTTATGGACTACTCTAATGCTTCGTCTTTTAATAAAAGTTGCTTGTCGTCTCGAGGAGACTTTGACAACACCCTCTTTATGCATGATGTAAAAAAGGTTGGTTGAGGAGTTGCTCCTGTATCTGGGCTATGCATTGGCTCAAGTTTTGGGATGCGGCGATTCGAGCTTTCGGCCAACTTGGCTGAAGGTGATAGACTACAGTGTAGCTAGTCTAGGAGTTGTTTGTTACTGCGTACATGATCCAGGTGTTGAACCTGCTTGCATTTAGTTCAGGTGTGAAACTGTTCCTGGCTTCATCATCCAATCGAATCAGCTCAAAAGTAGTCACACCCTCTCGGGAGGCTAGTGTGGCCGGTGAGCAGACTTGAATGTGGGAAACGCCTGGGCCTCGGCTTATGGTGGTCCTCAAGCACTTCTTGTCTGCGTCCGTGAATTAATAATAGACGTCTATTTTGTTACTTTTTTATCTGCTCAAAAGTAGCCACCACCATCCAATGCAGTGGCTGCCACCGACCCAGCCAACACCAGTGTGAGCCTGCTGCCTTTGTTGCTCAACAGCTTGTACTTTTTGAAAAGCTTGGACAGCAGGACATGAAGGAAAAGGTTGGCCTGGCTTTCTAGCTCAGGCGCTGGCTAGCTACGGTAGCCAGCTAATAGCGCTGTGCGTCAAGATGTCGCTCCTTCAGCTGCTTCTCCCGCATCTCAAAGGAAGAACTCTTTTCCGCCGCAAGTGTGGCGGAGGCATTGCATCCTGTGACGTCCTGTCGTCTGTCATCCATTGCATCCTGTCCTGTCGTCTGTCATCCGTGCCGTGCCGTCCATACCGGCCACTGACAACGTGACCTTTACAGCACTTCACACACATAATAGCCACATGGGCCGTGCCCACCATCACAGGGCCTCCAACCGCATGTATGTAACTAAAGCTGCGATAGTCGTCTGAACATTTGAGCTCACCGCGACACGGACAACCTGCAACACGACAGGAGTTAGCTTCTCATGAGTCGAGTCAGTCTGCGCAAAGCGGGAGTGCCATTAAAGCCGTAATATTTACCAGGATTGGGCTATTGTCTTTCATCACCGAACTCTAAATAAAAGACTTAAGAACATCACCCTGAGTCGAGTCGAGTCGAGTCACGGTGACTTGTTGTCACCAGTTCAACTTCCCCATGCAATAATTGGATCTTGACTGGTTTACCCCAGGTTCGCATGAAGGGATATGCAACACCGACTGGGCAGCTTTAAAATTGTGGACTAGTGACAGGTTCTCCCCAGATCTCGAAACGTCGCGAGGCTTTAATCGAATTTAGTCGCTGGAAAAAGATGCCGTTGGTGAACATTGAAAAGAGTTGCGGGATAGCCATGGAAAAGTTGCTTCCGTGTAAGGTCTTCTCTGAGTGCGTGCTGATGACAACCGGTGGGTGTAGTCTACCGATAGCTATATTTTGTCGAGCTAGCAGCTACCACCTGGTACCTGGTACCGATAGCTACTACTGACCAGTAGTAGCTAACTAGCCGATACCCACCGTACCAGGAGCCAGGAGTAGACTAGAACCCTCGTGACAAACCATGGCCACTCAGACCAGGCTTCTAGCTAGTAGGGGTGGAGCTGACTACTTCTGGACTTGTTCCTGCCCTTATCTCCAGAATCAAAACCTTTAGAAATCTGGACCAAAGAATGCAAGAGATTGCCCAAAGCCTGGATGTATCATGCCTCTGGGCCAACACCAGCTACCAGTACCTGTATGATACAGTAGACTACCTGGAACACAACAAGGACGTCCCAGATACAGTAGACCAACTCCTACTCCCTCGCTTGAAACACTCCTGGACAAAAAGGTGAATATAATCATCATAAGATTTTCGGCCACTGGGATTAGGATATTTCCCGCATCTACTAATCTACTTAAGCCGTCACCAAAGGGCACACGCCAACAAAAGGCAACCTTGCACAACCGCTTGATGCGAGTGAACCTCCAATCAATCGATCCTGCATTACAGTTCGTACCATTGAGACCCTCTTTGACTTTTAAACTAGACTAGCTAGATAATAAGTTAGTTGTCGTCTCAATTGTTACGTTGGTTGGTTCCTCCCAAGTCCCAAGCCATCCATCCACACATCGACCATCTATCTTGAATTGGTTAGTCTATTTGATCATCAGTTCAGGTTCCACCCACATCATCCCAAAAAGGAGGCCCAAAGGAAGCAGGCGTTTGTGCTGTTGACCATCCATCCACCATACACAAGGTCACGTTCCGAACACAAAATAGTGCTTGAGAAATCTTGGACGACTCAGTAGATTAGATCGAAAAGAGAAAGAGAAAGCAAGAGAGCAAGATGATGGCAGCACCCCCGCCATACCGCAGCAGTCACTTTGACGAAGACAAGATCATAGGGTCGAGTGTAGAGTTGGAATTGGAAGGGTCTCTTCGGATATCCTCTGCATCGACATCCACCGATACAACTGCCCCTGTGACGGTAGTGGACGATTATGAAGAAGAGCAAGAAGCACAGCAGCAACAACAACAACAAGAAGCAAAGCAAAATTCCTCATCTGTTGCGTCAAAAGAAGAGAAAAACGAGGCCGAAAATGGTAAAGATTCCAAAAAAGCATTAGAAGAAGAACGGAAAGAAACAACACTTGTTTCTTCCATGACAAACGCAAATACTACTAATGGAGTCACTACCAATGGAGCACTGAAGAAGCCACCACCATCATCATCCTGTCAATCAGCAGAACCATCATCATCATCAGTGGTGGAACTGAAGAAGCCTCCTCCTGAAGCAGCTCCTCCTGCTGCCGCTTCTTCTGACAAGCGAGACTCTTTGGAATGGAACGGTGTAAAAGACACTTCTTCATTAGAGCCTTCCAATACAAATAATGGCTTTTCCTCCTCGCTGTCCGATTTGGAGATCAGTCCTCTGGCGCCACCCAAAGGAGGAGTAGTGGCGGTTGCCGCTCGAAAGCCGTCTCTGGTTGTGTCTCCCAGGTCATCATCACGGACATCGCCCGTGCGAACCAGTGGCACCAGTCCTTCCGTCACGTTTGCCGCGTTGCCTCCTGGAAAAGCATTCATTCCCAATCTAAAGCTTCCCATGGACGACCTTTTGGACGATGACACGGATGACGATGACGACGATGAAAAACCCAAAGGAAAAGCTCGTCAACGACAAAGACAGCGTAGACAACAACAAGCGTTCCAAAGCAGTAGCAACAACAATGATGATGATGATGACGACGAAATGGACAAGAAACCCGCTGCCAAACCAACTCCAAAACCACGCTCTCCCACTACTACAACCACAACAAATCTGGCACGGCCTCGTTCCATCAGTCCTCAGAGTCGGGCTCGGTCGGCACCCGTCGAAGGAAGCGCCGCTGTCATTCCAACACCACGAGGACGCGGATTGCGAGGTCGAGCGGGACGAACGCCCCAAGATCGCAATGCACGACGACAACAGATTCGAGAGCGGGCGTTTGATGCCGGTTCGGGAGAAATGAGTGTCAACATCACCACTACTACCAATACTACTAGTAGTACCAGTCGAGCCGCCAGTCCCCATTCCAATCGATCTTCTACTGGTCCATCTCCCAGTCAGAGTCCCTTTTCCACTCTCCCCGTCATTGCGTCCATGGAACCCGGTGCCATGATGGCGTGTCGCGTCAACAACATCATGTTGAACAATAGCAATTCTTCCTTGGGGTCGCGATCGCCCATGCGCGTCAATAATAACAATATGAACAATAGCAATTCTTCCATTGGATCATCGGCGGCGGCGGCAACAAGATCGCTTCCCGGTGACAATCTGTTGGGACCGGCACCGGGAGATGACATGCCCCGCACCACCCGTCCGCGCAGTCGCGTCATGCGACCTTTGGTATCCAGTGACATTTCCAAATCGCAAAACTCCAATCCATCACCCGAAGCCTACGAAGCCGTGCCCTTGGCTGCATCTGCTGCTGCCTCCGCCAATACTACTCCTACAAATCCCACGGATGTGTCGGATCATTCACTCAAACAACGATTGCGACGAGAGAATCAAGACAACATGCCGTCGTCCATTCGACCGGGCGCGTACAAGGAAATTCCTGGACGGGGATTGGTACGAAACGATACCTTGCGGTTTTCCATCATGACCACCATTCAAAAACAAAAACAGAGTTTGAGGCGGTTGCTCGGAGGAAGCAGCAGCAATAATGTCGCTAGCACTGCTAGCCGACGGACCATATTTGGCTCGGCGAGTCGACGACAATTGGACAGCAGCAACAAGAGCCACAACAACAACAACGATCATAGCAACAGTATTCGTGAGGACGAGTTGGCCCAAGAATATGAAAGGCAACAACTGGCATACATGGGTGTCGTCATGGAAACCAGCATGCGCAGTGTCAAGAGCATTCCTTCCGTATTGGTCGATGGCACCCACGAGGATTCCCGCAGTTATTTGGGAAATGTCTCGATGCGGTCCATCAATTCGGCCGGGGGACTCTCCGTGGCACGACCCGTATTTGAACGAGAAGCATCCACCATGGAAGCACTCTGTATCATACCGGGGGATTTGGCCGTCGCTGTGGCGCTAGATGGACAAATCAAGGAAGCGGAAAAGGGGGATACGCAGCATCGATTGGAGGCATTGACGACCAAGCGAAGCAACTTATTATTTCCCAAGGATGCACCACCGTCGTCGTCGGAGAATGATCCACCACCGACTTTTTCGTGGAAACGCAACTCGGCGGCGAGCAAGGGGTCCAAAGCACGACGATTTGTGGGATCCTTTGCCAAGAAAATGGTTACGAAACCAGCAAAAATGCCAAAACTCATTTTGAAAAAGGCACAAGCGAATTTGAATCCATTGCGATTAATGAAAAAACGCAAAGGAAAGAAGGAAAAGCAGGACAACGAAGGAGGATCGGAAGCGTTCTTTTCCCAAGACAATAACCCTGAGAAACGGGATGGCAGCAGCTTGCTTGGTGGTAGCGTTCAACGAAGGAATTCGTGGTAACCAATGAATGCCACAAGCTTTGTGCCACCAACAGTACTGTAATCTGAAGCCTGCCAGCCCCAATCCTTCCCTTAGAAAAAGGAGCAAACAAAATCACGACAACCTCCCCAAATTTTGACAATCAAAAGAAATCACGAGAGAGAAACACAAGTCCCTCGCAGTAGGAACACACGAGTATTTTATAAGGCAAACTGAGTATTAAGCAGAATAATTTTAGGATGCGCGGTCAGTTTGCAACATTCCGCCCTATTACAACTTCAGCGGGATTGGATGCTCATCGTAATGATGGCATTTTTTCAATGCTTACGAGTGTGCTCAAACGTCCACCTGGGTCTAGTGCACGGAAAGGTACCGTAGGACGTCGATGACCGCAAAGCTTTTGAAGTCGGAGATTGGTTCCTCAAAGCCGCCGAGCGGTCGGCCGCAGCCGTTTTTTCAACTTTGCCACTTGCTCCACCACGACCTCGATCTCTTTCTATCTCTTCGTGCTTTGATTTCTATTCCTGGCCCAGCTCTGTGCTATCGTGCCGTTACTGGCGAGTGCTGCGCTGAGATAGCCAAGTGTACGGTTTGTCATTGGCATCTTTTCTCGTTTACATTGTCTCATTCGGCGTGGCCTTTTTTCGCTCGATCTTTCGTCCGCACTCACAGTAGCACTCACAGTTCACACCTCTCTCAACACGCAAGGATCTTTGATCGACAGGTGGCGTTCCTTCTCCCGAAAATCCGAAAAGCGGCTTTATTCCCTTCCTTCCACCAACAATTGTCACAAAAAGGCTCAAACAAATGTGGTCTCGAACTGTTTGGGGCGTCGCTGTCGCCTTCTCGCTCGTGTTTCTGCAACTCGTCGAAGCTTCATCGCCTTCAAAGCCAAGCATTCCTTCTTCGCTTGATAAGGCAACCACGGGGACAACGTACCACACAGCAGCCACCAAGAAGAAAACCAACAATGCTCCGATCGACTACACAACGATCCCATGGGAAGAACTCAACGAATGGTTGTCGCAACTAAACGGAAACCCTCACGTTCAACACGCCTTCCTCCCCGAGCGAGGGATCACCAGATACAAGGTCTTGGACGAGTTGGAACGTCGATTTCTTAACAAAGAGGAAGAAATCGACCAAGTCATGAATCTCAAACTCACGGTCGAAGACTTGGATGAACTCGCTGTCACCAACCCAGATGCCTTTCTCGAGATCAAGCAACGAGAAATGGAAAGCTATAACAACCATGGAAGCAACACGAATACTGGAGTAACCAGAAACAAAAAGAAAGCTAAGACGAAACCAAAACAAAAAGACCCTCAGGCTGAACACATCTCGAGTTTGAAGCCACTGAAGGAGCAAGATGAAAGAGCAGATACAACAACCCCAACAAACAAAACCAGTGCCGCCGATGACTGCCACGACGATGCTTCAATCACACCACAAACCAACCACAATAGTACTGTTGACGACAGCCAGGGCCGCTGCGTCGTATTGTCCGTCAACCAGATCTCTTCTATTGCCAATGTGTCGCTGGAAGACGATGTGCTGTGCTTTGGTCGTGACTGGAAACTCTACCAGAATGATCATGGATACACCCATTTCGAAGAGCTCTTGATCTATCAGCCTCGAGGCTGGCGCACGTTTGCTCGGGAGTACATGCTTCGATACCATGGAAACATCGACACTGACATTACCCGAGAAGCACAGCCCAGAATCGCGTTCCGGCGCCGCACGTTCGTCCCTCAAGCACATCGCAAATGCTTCAATTGCGGCTCTCCTTTTCATCTTGTGCCAGACTGCGACAATCCACTCAACGAGACAGTAATAGCCGAAAACAAAAAGGCATTTTTTGCCCGGAGGGAACACCATGCACATCGCAGATGCTTCAATTGCGGGTCTCCTTGTCATCTTGTGTCAGACTGCGACAATCCTCTCAACCAGACAGCAATATCCATAAACAAAAAGGATTTTTTGTTGAAGAAACAGGGTGCCAGCAGTACTGTTGACCAAGAAGGAGACCTCCAGAGAGAAAGCCTCCTGGCCTGGCTTGTCGTCCAAGATCCAAGCAAACGGGTCGCTCGTGTCAACATTGATGGAGGGGAGCAAGATGTTCCCGTTACCATGAAGACGCCTACATCGGTCGTGCTCTTTCATCCTGACATTCCACGATGTCAACGATACAACCCGCTGAACTTTTTGCTTGCTTACGGGGCCAAGAACCCCCTCCCGGATGTCTTCGCGGAGTTGCACGCACAAAACAAAAGCGACACCGTCGATCGCTTGCTCGCAGAGCTTTCTCCCTTGGACTACTTTTTCGACTTTCAGCAAAGCGTGCAATCGTACAAGCTTGACATGCTTCGATCCATTGGGGCCAAGACGTCGTTCCCAAGGCTTTGCTTTATCAAGGAACTTGACTTTAGAGACATTGTTGGCCAGCGAATGGCCAAACAGATCGTCCGATCCGAAGTGGTACGCTTCATCTGGGATCGCATAACCGAAACAAAGAGCAGCCATTCCAAACAACGGCCACTCAGTTTGATCTTTGCCGGGGCAAGCGGAGTGGGGAAAACTGAACTGGCAATCTTACTTGCAACCCTAATGAACAAACCAGGGATGGAAGGGAAGCCTGCGAGCGATTGCTTCCTCAAAGTGGACTGTGGCAAGCTGTCGCATGCTAGCGAGGTGTTTGGTTTATCAGGAAGCTATCAAGGCGCCGAGGAAGGTTCCAGTTTGAACAACTTCATTCTTCGCAAAAGCCGAGACAAAGGATCACTGGGAATAGTTCTTTTGGATGAAATTGAAAAGGCAAATCAAGATGTTATCCATGCCTTCTATCGTAAGTTCTCTCAAGTGGGGTCCCTCTTGCTCTGTGATAATCCTACGGTCCATCTCGCGTGGTGAGTTGCTCACATGCGGTATATATATGTACCCCCGCATTTCTTGTGCAGAGGTTCTCGACAAGGGAGAGTGGACGAACAAGCGACTGCAGAGTGGCAACGGGGCCCAGACCGAGGTCATTTCCTGCAGCAATATAATTTTTATCCTCACGACGAATGCAGCCATGGATGTGATTGAAGATTTTGCAAGGCATGCTTCGGTATTGTACACGGCTGAGGATGTTCAGGAAGCGGAGAGCAAGCAAAGAGAATTGGAGGCGCTGATTCGATACAAGTTGCAAACAACGTATCCGTTTACAGACGCATTCATTGCTCGCGTTGACAGAATCGTGCCGTTTGTGCCTTTGTCTCGTCGTGTCGGAGACCCAGAAGATCATCCACTGCTGTGTGAAGCCATGACGGTTGCCAAGATATTGATCGAGAAAGAGCAGGAGAAACTACGAGATGATACGAACTTGCAAGTGGTCCAATCGATTAGCTCGGAGAATAAACACACGATGGCGAAGCTTGTGGTGCTGGAATCCATCGAAGAAGCAGGCGTGCGGTCTTTGCAGAAGAACATTGCCACCAAGATGGGACACCAGATGAAGCATGCACTTCTCCTCGAAGACGGCGGGATAGAGAGTGGCTCTCGCGTTCGATATTCTGCTGACGAAGAAGCCAGACGCGTTGATTGGCGGCTTGCATCCAAACTTGGAGGGCGGGGATCAGAACAGAAGTAGGAAGTTCTCACTTCTATCTGTCAGCATCAAACTGTCCGCAGATTGATACACTGCAATAGTTTCATCATTCTAGTATATGCCAACATGACAATTGGTTTATGTCAATGATGAGAGCCACTTTCATATTCGTCGTGCCACTTCAGCAGCCACGGCGGAACCACATTGCACAAATCTGGTCCAGGGTGCCGCCCACCAAGCTGATACTAGCTAGTTCACCCTAATGATTCTTATAGTTTGTCATATTCAGTAATCGTCTTGCAGCATCTTCTTTGTGATGAACTTCATCTTCGCAACAGTGCTCCAGCAGTCGAAGCAATTCCGGAGTCTTTCCTGCGCTAGCAAGAGACCCAATTTGTTTTTGAAAATGTTCTTCCACAAACGTCTCCACCGCTTCTACGGTAACGTATAATGCCTTGGTGCCACCCACAAGAGTAGGAAATAATCCATACAGGTAGTAGTCGAGTGTGTTTGCCGGGTGATGGTACAGTACAGTACCACGATGCCTTCAAGAAGAGCTATCAAGATCCGCATGGCATTTGTTGGACCAAGAGATGAGCTCCAATTTGGCAGGTGCGTGAGACAGGAGCCGATAGTATCTGTTCCGGGGCACTGGCTGCCATGAGACTCGTTCCAAACCGATTCACTCCAGATGCCATGGACTTTTTGCCATACCCATTAAGCCAATGAAACGGCACATTTGAGCTACTTACTTTCAAGCCATTGTACCATCAATGATCTACTAGCTAGCATGATACCTTCATCACTAAGTCGTACTCTTACACCATCCTCCTACAGCATTGGAGTTGTTTGGTCGCTGAGTCAGTGCGTGACTCCTTCAGTCCACAATTCTGTCGGTTTTATCGGTGTCAAAAGGGAGGATTTAACAGCAGGAGCCCGGATTTATGGATAAAGATTTCACAGAATAGCTTCCGTTTTTGGTTGGCTGGCCGTTGAACCCGCATCGCGTTCGAGGCGTTCTTTCATCACATCACAAAACTCTCACAATCCTGACACTCGAGACCTTCTCATCCCTTTTTTGACCTGACACTTCTCTTTTTTCGAATCAATCTAATGTGCTGTCTTGCTAAATCTACCAAATCTACTACAATGATGACAAAGAAGTCTTGGTCGTTGAATACACCTGCATGCTCCTTTGAGCACTCCTTCTTGGTTCTTCTGGAAAATAATTCCTTCCATGATGTCACTCTGGTTGGCAATGATGGGATCAAGGTGACGGCCAATCGGTGTTCTCTTTCCGTCCGGTGTGACTATTTCCAAAAGATGTTCATGGGAAAGTTCCAAGAGTCTTCTTCCAACAACAGTAACAGTAACAACATCAGTCAAGAAATCCACATCAGCAACTTTTCTGGCAGTGTGATCAAATCCATTGTCCAATATCTTCATACCAGCAAGATGGAGCTGTTGGAGACTCTTCCCAGCAGAAACAGCAAAAAGTTGACTCCAGAGACTCGACTCGAGTGTGTAGAGACGTTGGTATCGTTGGCCAGCGCCGCCGCCTATTTCCAGCTCCCCAGCCTCCTGGTTCTACTCACAAAGAAAATACAGTCGTGTATTAAGGATTCTCCCATTCTGGCATTGCCCCTCTTGCATGCGACTCCGCTTCCCTTGGAGTTGGAACAGTTGGCATTGTCCGTCATTCGATCCAATGCCATTTATTGCTTGACAGCACCGGCCGTTACAGACTTGCCAGCATTTGCCGTGACACAAATCCTCACCGAAATAAAGGCAAAAAATCGAATGGACTCTTCTATCATCAGCATCAGCCACCTCCAAGTCTTTGACTTCATTTCCCTTTGGGCCAGTAGTAGTGAGGATCACAGCAGCAATACTGCGCTCCAAGAAACAGCCAAGCAGTTAGTATCAGATCATGTGGACCTCACACAGATCGGTCCAGATGTGCTATGCAACAAAGTGGAAGTGTCAGGACTGGCAGACCGGGATCAGCTCTACGACGCCTACAAGGCACATGCGTTGGCATCCAATCATGAAACCAACAACACAAATAATACATCCCTCCAATGGAAAAAGTCCCAATCCGAAGAGGTTCATCAAGAAAGAGCATCGGGATGGACGACAGATGTTGTAGACTGTCCTCCCATGACTGCGGGAACGTATCAATGGTCGCTCACGTTGGAACAAGCCGAAGCGGTCATGGTCGGTGTGGTGTCATCCGACGCTCCCATCCGTTACGATAGTGACTTTTCGGTGCAAAAGGGTACATGGGCGTCCTACGATTTCAACATGTCCGGATCCAACATTCAATTGCTGTACGCCAATGGCGTGCGAAAGCAACAAAAGCAGCAACAACTGCCCACCATTTCGGGAAATTCGACCGTCCAGGTGACGCTCAACTTGGATCCTACCGACGCGGACAATGGCAGTCTATCCTTTTCGGTGGATGGACGTCGACCAGTGGTTATTTTGAGGCAATTGAGAGAGCATCTCAACAACAACGAGGGAGGCTTTCTACCGGGTGTGTCAATATCGGGACGGGGCGGCAGAGTCAGGATTCACGACTTGCAGCAATTGTAGCCATACCAACGTGATAAATCTGCAGCCTCTGTTACCAGTACCATTGAATGTTGGCGTGATGCCGTTCTTGAATTCAGTTTCCATCCTCCTCTACCGCGCTCATCAATCAATCTACGTTAGTATGCATTCTCTCCTTCTTCGATGACTTACTTACTTTTGCAAGAGCAAGAGTCATGTTTCGATTGCAAGAGCCAGTGCCAGCTGCAACGTTCTCCGAGTTGAGTTCCTCCTCGGCTGATCCGGCTCTCTTCCAAGCTTTATTCATTTCTGTATGTCCCCCCAAACGCCCCGGCCCGTCGGCAGCGAGGGCAACAGACAGGTTCGGACACGATACAACGGCCGCTTCCAAGGGAAGACTAGCTTCGCACTTGTGTACGAGGAAAAACGTAAAGACTCTATCCATAGCTAAACTACAAAACTGTGTCATTTCTTTTTTGGACTCGACTCCACTCGGTTCGCTCAATGAGTTCGCACGCATCTTGTCAACACTGCTTGTTCCCTCTTCCGGTTTTGCTCGGTCTACCGTACCGCCCATCTGTCCCACCTCTACCGGTAGCGCGCCGACGGCACCACACTACAGTACAGTACCGGTACGAAGCAAGTGCTGGAGCACCTTGGCTTTGCCAGTCTTTGGATTGATCATTCAGTTCTCACTCCAACAACCCCAGATCCAACAAAAAACAAAACAACAAAAAGAGAAACATCAAATGGCCGGGAATAGCGAAATCTTTTAATAGCTTCGTTTGTCCAGGTTGGTAGATCTAGTTCTGACGATGGATGATGATTAGATAGATCTAGCTAGATTCTGGTAGCAAGCTAGGTTGATGAAATGAATGAACCCAGTGAATCACCAACATCCAGTCCTCAGCCAACGGGTCTGCCAAGCTCTACCCCTACCGAGAGCCAGGCACCCAGTGAGAGCCCAAGTGATGTCCCAAGTTCCAGCCCAAGTGTCTCCCCAAGTGTGGGTCCGAGTGTATCACCAAGCTCCAGTCCCAGCAGTCGTCCCAGCATTGCGCCAAGCGCAGGGCCAAGTGCAAGCCCAAGTGCTGGACCCAGTTTAAGCCCAAGCGGTTGACCTAGCTAGTGCAAGTCCCAGTGAGTCGCCAAGCTCTGGACCCAACGAAAGCCCCAGTGGATCTCCAAGTGCTGGACCAAGTGTCAGCCCCAGTGGGTCTCCTAGCGCTGGTCCCAGTGTCAGCCCTAATGAATCACCGAGTGCCGGGCCGAGTGCCAGCCCCAGTGAATCTCCAAGCGCTGGACCCAGCGTAAGCCCCAGTGAATCACCAAGCGCTGGACCAAGTGTGAGCCCCAGCTGGTCTCCTAGTGCCGGACCCAGTGGAAGCCCTAGTGTATCCCCAAGCACCAGCCCCAATGAATCACCCAGTGCACACCCTAGCAGTGCACCAAGTGAAAGCCCATCCCTGACCCCATCTGTTGGCCCAAGTGCCTTGCCAAGTTCACCCCCCAGCAGTGATCCCAGTAATTCTCCCTCAGGGTGACATTTGTGCTTGCAACATTGTATTTGGTGAAGATCCGAAGGAAGGCTGGTTGATTGATTTTGATTTTGGAGGAGAAGCAGGGGTTGTCAAATACCCAAATGGATATAAACAAACGCATGATGACGGTAGACGAATTGGCGAAGAAGGAAATTAAAAAACTCGACGATTGGTACGGCTTGGGACAGCTCATCTTTGATCTGCACCGTTTTGACAGAAGTAACATGACAGCACCAGATCTGACACTATGGGGGGAGCTTGAGGGCTTTTGGACAACAACACCAGATGGCTGGGAGGAAGGACTACCCTTTGAAGACCAAGTTGTCAAGTTGCTTAAATTCGTTGGGTCGTATCGACACGACGGCTACAAACTGCACCCTATTTCAAAGCATTTCTGGAGAAATTGAGCAACCAAATGATGCCACCACACCAGGTGCCACAAGCAGTCCTTTGAAGGGCTGATGGTAAGGATCATTTCTTGCATCTTGGCACTGTTGGAGTCGGTTGAGTCTAGTGGGATCAATCGTACCGCTGGGTTAGGCTTCCCTGTATAACTTAGATTGTCTGAGAGTCGTGGTAGCATCCAAAGAATCCATCAGAACTAGCAGTAGGTCAAAACATGTAACTCAGTGGCTGCCTCCACAGCTGCCCTCTTTCTTTTCTCGCTTTCATTGATTGCATGGTTGGTTGGCTGATTTGATTCTAGTATAGCTACTTTGTTAGAGCTGTAAGTTTCTATTGCGCCTGCCTGTTGTTGTCAACTGTTTTGGTGACTCTATTACCAAAGCAAGGGCAGCGTAATACTGCCTTTTGTTTGTAGGCGCTGGTCACGACTTGCAAGCCCAGATAGACAGTTCAACTGATCTGTCGAGGTCGACACACTCTGACAACAGTTGCTTTGCTTTTGCATGCTGATCGCTCAATTTGCTTGTTATTGCCAGCCCAAGTGTGAAGGACTCCATTTCCGCCCCAGACCACTTCCTTTACCAACTCCCTGACCCCTCCTGGAGCTACATGCACCTACTAACCTAGGTAGCTAGTGCAAGCAAAGAAAGTTGCCTACGGTACGACGACAGCACCTACGGTTCTTTTGAAGAAGTAAGGAGACGTGGGGATATCTCGAGACAGAAAAGTAGGGGATGGAAGCCTTCTTCTCACTCACTCTACTACAGAATGTACAATTGCAACAGGATGAAGAATTGCAGTACTGTAGCCTGAAGCTACCTTTGGTGGTCTTGCACGGAGGACCATTAGTCACATTGCTTCGAGGCAGATCCCCGAGCCTGTTCCTCCTTGTTTCATCAAGCCCATGACTAACTAGCTAGCTAGATAGGCGCAATGCTTCCATGGCTTTCACCCTGTTTCGGTGCGTTTGCTACGCGGACGGTATACATGTACCCCTAGACACGGAGGATTGATTCACTGGGAGTACCGTATGCAGTAAGATAGATGTAATATAATAATAAACTGGTTGTGTCTAGTGTTACAAGCTAAGAAGTTCATAGCCGGCTGTATTTTTGCATCATGCAGTACGGTACAGTATCATGCGGACGATGCCACGACGGGTTTGTTGTTTTCTGGCTGTTGTTGCTGTTGTTTCTTTTGTTGTTTTCGTCGCAGTCCAATGCCCACACCACAGGCTTTGCGAGGATATGTGAGTGTGATTCGTTCTTCGACGAGTCCCACTCCGTGACATGCGGGACAAGCGACGTATTGCATCCCGTAGAGACACGCCAGCTTGGTGGAGCAGCCATAGCAAGTGGTAATGACATGTTGATTTTGCAAGACGGCCTGTGTGGTGTAGGAAGCATCAAAGTACGGCGCTCGGACATTGGGAGTCACTTCCATCAGAGGACGTCCTGTTGGATTGGGCAGTTCTTGTTGTGCCGTCTTCCATACATTGTCCAACGAGAAAAGGTCTTCTTGTTGGCAACTCGTGCTGGGATAGAGCGACGAGGACGACGAAGAAGACGAAGAACAAGCAGAGTTGCGTCTCTGAGTGGGCCACTCCAGCTTGGTGCTCATCGTCGTGGCAGTACCACTGAGAGCGTGGTCTACCAGGTTGGAAATGTCATGGACTTGCCCATCCAGAGAGATTTCAAGGGGTGAGTAGCAGTGAGAGTAGGATTGGGGAAGGTTCATCATGGCAAGCGAGCTAAGAGCTGTGGAGTGTTTTGGTTTGCTTGTGGGCTTGGCAAAGAGGAGAGTTGTGAGAACTGATGAGCGATGAAAACTGTTGTGGGAAACTGTTGTGAAAGTAAGTGATCTTGGGTTGTGTCTTGGGCTTGACGGCTTGTCAACATAACGCCAAAACTGCTTGACTTTGCAGGATGCAAAAAGCTCCTTGCAGTTTTTGGGCGGAACGAATGCATGTTACGATAAAGAAGCTAAGAATCTTGCAATGAAGTTCAACGAAGCTCAGTACTCAGTCATAAGGGCACCTATGACCGAATCGACGATTTAAATGATTATTTCTGATCTGCCCTTCATTGCCATTCCGGCAGACTTTCAGTCAAGCAAGACATTACTCTTTCCGAATTCGATCAAGGTGATGTTAAGTATAGCTTCTTTTACGGCATGACTCGGTATGCTAACTTTTGATTCAAACACACTTCAATGATCTGCTTCTGTACTTGTTGAGGACAGTGAGATCCCAGACATCGACTAGATTTATCAACCGTACGCTGAAGAACGAGACCATTAACTCTCGGATTCTTTATGGCTTTAACTCTCAGCTTCGACAGCGAAGACGCGGCAACATCACTTTTACGAGCGCGAGAGCAGAAAAGCGATTGTAAGATACCGGTGGCCGGGAGGCCGGGCTGGTGGATAGATAGATGTAGCTTGCAACATAAAACTGTTACTAGATAGTACAGTGTACATACCGCCCCCACTCCCGCTCCAAAAGCCAAAACCCAGAGCGAAGATTTATTTTGTAGTCTCTCTTGTAAAAACGAGTAACAAACGGCAACTGACTGATTGGAGCTCTGATTGGAAGCTCTTCCCAGTTCCAAGAAGATGCGGGCGGGAAGACAACAGCCAGCAACGTCGCCTGTCAGTCTACTTTTGTGCAGCTTTCCAACTAAGAAGCTCTTGGTGTCGCTTGGTTGGAGAACACTTGATTATTGGAGCAACTTGCTTGCGCACCGTAACCCTCTCTCAGACCCAGACTCAGTAAGAACAAAAGCAACTGTCTGTCAGAGCCAGTTGCTGTGAAACCCATCTCTTGCAGCTTCCAGTCAACAACGTCAACAGCTTTTAAAAAAGGACAAAGTTGCCCTTTCCCCTCTTCATGTACACTCTGCACTCCCACTTAATAAAGCCTACCGGTATGGATAGTGTTTGTCTTCACCGATGGATCGCCGGTCAGCTTTTCTTGCTTGGATACCTGTAGACTCTAGTAGCAGCAGGGCAAAACAAAGGGAAATCTTTGGTTTAGAAGGTCGATCTGTTCGATTGAAGTGTACGAAGGAGGGCAATGGTGGCCTTTTTCTCTTCTAACGAATAGACAACCCTGATGATCTTCTTTCTTGTTCTGGAAACCTTCTGGAACGCCCATTGGGAGTTCAACTCCCATCCAAAACGGGCATCCTAAGTAATTATTTAGCTTCTTAAGTACACAATTCACGCATGGCGACATCAGTCACCGCGGGCTCGTTCATACCAGTGACAACCTAGTATACCGGTTTGAAGTCTTGAAATTGGCGTGAAGTCTTGAACGCCCAACACCCACCCACAGTGAGCGTCGGACGCCCTCTTCTCACAACTCAAACTCCCATCATCCTTGAGCGTCGAACACCCATTCCCAATATGAACTCACCCACCAATGCCGAAGAGGAAGGAGAAGATTTGACGTTGACGGTGGTCACTGAACTCGAAGACAAGGAGATAGCGGAGAGACTCAAGGATATCAGGAACGACAGTGAAAGCAACAAAACCCCTGCGGCCAAAGCTCACGCCAATTACTTCCTGAAGATGCTGTGCAAGGAACAAAATGCGACGGTTACAACCATCGACAACCTGTCCTACTGTGACATACACAAGCTCAACTATCCTGGTGGCCACCAAGCATGGTGGCACGACTTCTTCGGCAAACTCTTCCATTACCTCACGTTCCATGCCCGCGACAAGCGCTTCAAGAAGAACCCTCCCCTCATAGGTTATGAATCAGTAACAGGCTATGCCAGTGCGATCAAGGCCTTCATTGAGAACAGGTTTCGCACCAGCACCCCGCTGAATGTTCTAGATGAGAATGGAAGTTGGAGAAAGCTCCGCAATGATTTGAGGAAGAATTTCAACTCCCGCTCCAGGCAGACAGGAAAGAGAGTTGTGAATCCTCGTGTCGCAACAACAAGAGAGGACAGGGTAGCCATGGCCAATGCGTGCTATTGGTTAGGTTCGACTGAAGCGGCTGAGTTTTTATGCCTCAATGTGTGGGCCCTACATCTTCTAGCTCGGGGTAGAGAGGTTTCATTCCTGAAGACAGGAGACATTGGATCGGCAGACGCCATTGATCAAGAGATCGAATACGAAGTGCTGGACGTCAACATACAAAGGGACAAGACAGGCTTAGTCCAAGACTTGAGCCTTTACCCCCACAAGCATACAATGCAACATGATCCCTACTTTGCCCTCGTCTACAGGATCATAGTCCAAGGATTTCAAGATGAACTGTTTCCCAACTTCAATAAAGAAGCCTTCAAGGTAGACAAGAACAAGAAGAACAAACCAAGAGTTCAAGCCCTTTGGGAACGATACTTCCTGCGCATCGTGAAAGAGTTCCAACACCTCTCTGAATCCAGTGAGAAGAAGCTGACCCAACTCCTATCCCTGAAAGAGAAAGGTCTATCAAGCTACAGCAACAGGAAAGGAGGAAACCAAGACCTTTGTGAAATGACAGGCGTCAGTGGTCCCTCTCAAATCTACCGGACAGGATGGGAGTCTCCAGACGCGCATTCATTGATGGATTACATCATTGGTACTAAGACACTCACCAACCAGGCAGGTAAAGCTCTCGCAGGGTGGACAACACGACAATACAATGAGATACGAGGAGGTGTCCCTCCCAACCTGTTTTCAATCAACACCGAGCCAACCCTCGTCGATTCATTCGTCCAAGCTTTGTTTGCAGGAGACGTTGAAGGATACTGGCCTGCCAATACCAGAAGGATGTTAGTAGCATCCTTACTACGCTTCTACAAGGATTTCCTAGTCATCCTTGAATGGCACCCAGAAGATGCCTACACGACAAAGAGTGATCATCCACTGGTGAATGCGGTTGAAGAAGCCAGGAATCTCACGGGAGTCTCGGAGGAAACCCTTATGCAGTGGTGTAAAGAAGTTGATGAAGGGTTTCAAATAGCAAATTACGAATTCATCCCAAGGCAGTTGCTCACAATTCAGTCAGCCCAAGTGGATCCAAGGTCCCTCTACGAACATCTACAAAATCAAATTGCAATTCAAAACTCCCACCTTGCTGAGAAGATGAGACTACATGAAGAGCTTCACCAACTCCGCCTTGAGAACGCCCAGCTAACCCAATGCAGTCTCCGCAATGAGAAGACCCTATCGTTGGTTGTCGACCAAATATCTAAAATCTCCAACGTCCTTCAGATCAAATTCAAAACCGAACGCCCATCAACACCCACGTCTACGCCTGAAGCCAACGACTCAGTCCTGATGCCGTTCTATGAAATCTACAAGAAGAACAAGTTCGCCTCGATGCCTGTGGACACCCTCTTCCAAAGCTTCTTCCGCTACCGGTGCATGGAAGCATACGCCTTTCAGTTGAAGAGTGACTCCTACAAAACCCTCCTTCCCAATGAGAAGAAGACAATCAGGGATGCGTACAAGAGATTGAAGAAAACCATCAAAGTGATGCTCTTCTTCTGCGACAAATTTCCCTCTCCAATGCCCAACGACCATGTGAATGTTACCAAGTGGCACAGGGATCTATCTCTCATGGCAAAACAAGCAGTCAGCAAGCTAACGGAGGCGATTGAGAAGGAAGAAGGAACCACAGAAACCAAGCGTTTAACCATAGCCTTCTTCCTGAAGTCCAACCTTGTCAAAGACTGGGCAAGCAAGATGTCCCTGCCTTCAGACACCCCCAACCACTTTAAGAAAGACTAATCGAACTCATTATTTCGTGTTTCAGCCGACCGCAGGTCAAAGTCGGTATAGGCGCTCACAGCGAAGCGTACTTGCCTATCTAGAATCAATAAGCTAGGAAGCTGCATCGTTCTACTCCATGTTCCACTCCAAAGTTCGAGGAGTCACACAATTTCGAAAAAAGAACAACAACAACAAAAAGAAACAAAAGATGGGAAAAGAGGCTTGCACATGCGAGAAGAGGAAGAGACTGAGCGGCTATATGCTGTTCGTACGAGAGCATTATCACGAAGTCAGAGAGGAGAATCCTGAGTTATCCTTTGGAGAAATTGGGAGAGTGCTAGGAGAGAGATGGAGGGACCTCTCGGATTGCAAAAGGCGACAGTATGGCTAGCTATTAGGCAGGTAGTCCGTCCATTTCAGACAGCATCTCCTTCCGATTGACTTGATCCAATCGATACATCTTGGTGACAACTTTGATAACATAGTCTTTCACCTTACAACTCTTCTTGTTCCGGAATTGCGCAAATGTCTTAACCTTATTAGGAATTCGATACATCATCTTGTTGTCGTCAGAGAGATGCCAGTGAATCAACTCCTGATTGTATGTAGCTTCGTCTTCTCTTATCTGTTCCCTCATCAAAGTTGTCTCCTCGATGATAGAAGATGCCTCCAACACTACCTCTACCCACGAAAAATTCAAACCACCTTTCCGTAGTCCATGAACAACCTTATTGAATAACACTAAACAAACATATTTCAAGTCATGGTAATGTCCTTTAGCAAGAGACGTATTAGGTTCATAGAACTCATTCACAAGTCGATGGATGTATCGGATCCCAACCATCTTGGTCGATTCAACAAAAGAGGTTCAGAATTGTGAGGAAAGGACAGGGAGAGGGGGCCAAGCGTAGCGCGTGAGCCAATTGATAACCCTCAAATTAAGGTTATCAATAGGGCGAAACTATTATTACCCCCTCGGGTCCCCCTGGTCCCCCTACTCTTTTTTCTATAATCTAATGTCCGCACAAGGGCTGAAATCTTGGGTCATGACTTGAGTTTTTGAGATTTGACTCAAGTCAGTACTCAAGTCAGCACTCAAGAGAACCCCTCCTGTCCACACAGCAACATGGTACCAGTCGTACTAGCCGGGGTGGCTCGATTCCATTCGTGCTTTCTTGTTCTCCTCGATTTCGTGCTTTTTTGGTGCATTTCGAAATTATACAAAACAAAATTCGATTTTGCCATCATTTGAACGTGCGACTTGGCAAAAAGGCGTTGACTCAAGTCAATGGTGTTTTCGCAAAATCTTGAGTCATGACTTGATGCTGACTTGAGTACTGACTTGAGTCAAATCTCAAAAACTCAAGTCATGACTCAAGATTTTCCATCATGTTGACCTTGTGCGGACATACGAATGTAATTATCTTGATTTAATAAGCGGGGGACCGCGGGGGACCGGCATTAACCGGAATCAAGCTGAAGGCTTATTATCCGGTACTAAAACAGTCGGTCCCCCAACGGCTATCTCGGTCCCCTTGATTGACCCCATTCTCAACCTTAACCTTCCATGGACCAGGGGACCTTACAAGCTTATTGTATTAGCCACAGCGGTGATTGAGCGGGTCCAAACTTCATACCATTAGACTTCATGCCAGTATTCAGATGCATCGAACCCAATGTTCAAAACTCCCATCACTTTTTAATCAAGTCAGCTTTCAAAGGCAACATGGCCCCTTATCCTGATAATAGGAGAAAATATGGACGATGGCAGTTTACCGCACCCGTTTTCAATGAGGCACTAATCGCCCACCTTTCAGGTTTGATATCACTAAGCCAAATACTTTATGTTACCTTTGCCGTATGTGAAGATGACACCAGTAACCGCTTCCTTCAAGGATACATCGTAACCAGCATTCGTCAGCGCATCCCCACTATGCGTCGCTTAATCGGCAATGTATTCCTCAAAGGTTGCACCTCCTTCAAGCCGACCCTATTGGAAATTCAGACGTCGACATCCTTTGAAGAGTATGGCGTAGACGACTTTTCGAAATGTTTCCGTGATAGAATCAAAGACATGTTGACCTTAATCAAGCAAAGAGCGTCGATTTACCAATTGTTTGATTCAGGATTTGAGGATGTATGCAAAGCAAATCCAGCCGCAGTACAAAGGCTCATGGAAAGGAGAGACAATGAAAAAGCTAACTCTGAAACGGCGGCACACACAATCACCATAAACGTGACTATACCAAAATGAAAGCTGAAGACCTCCCAAAATTCTACTGGTACTGTCGCACAGACAGAAGCGACTTTGAAAACATGCCTCCGGTTGATGCCACTGGATCACCCGTTAAGTTGCAGCGTAAACCCAAGGACATGAGAAACCTCAGTATAGTAAGATTCTGTAATGATAGCAATGTTGTTGGTGGTACGGTAGGTCCTTTGTACCTAACTATGGGTATTCGACAATGGAATACCCCGAGAAGGACGGCACCAAGGAAAATTCGGCAAAAGACGCCATGAAGGGTGCCGATGGCACTTCGCGCCATTGTCCAAAATCAATCAACAGTTATCGTTTAGTGTTGGCCTACTAGTAGTGATTGGAATGAATTTTGGAGAATTACATTTGATCCCATAACAGTCGAATAACCGACGCGCATTAGATTCGTTAGAAGTTTGTGCCACGGGGTGCATTTTCATCGCTTCCAAGCACAGTCGTGCAGCGTGGCTACTCGAGTAGTAGATCAACCACTGTGACAGTCTTCTTCAAACAACTTTTCCACACCTCCATCTCCTCTTCCTCCACTTTTCGGCTGATCAGGCGTGGCTGCTACTGCTACAACAACAACAACAACAACAACAACAGAGCAGTGAAAGCGATCTGTTTGATTGGCAACAAGAGTATCTGTCGCGTCGATCCGTTTCGGAAGAGGAAGGGCCCATTGACAGCAGCACCGACAGTAGAAGCCCATGGCCCAAGCAATCTCAGAGAGTGTGGCACCTGTCTTTGAGCAGGAAGCCAACAGGCACCTTACGGTTTACTTCCCTGCATGTCTTCAAGGATGTGGCGTGACAGATTTCCGTGGTCGTGAGATCACGCAAGGAGACACAGTAATCAGGCAGCTGGATTCATTTGCTTACATGACGAATGACACCCTTGCAAGGGGTACCGAAGCGAGAACCAACGGGTTATCTCTCCTTGTCCCCAATGGAATGGTCTTCCGAGCGGCTGCAGGGGCCCCAGTAGGTCCTACGCGAATAGGCTGCCGAAGTCATCATTTTGTTTGGTCCTCTGTTGACAAATCTCTTTTGTACTTTTGCTACACAGGCGCAGGAAAGAGCTCCTTTGGCTCCGACGAAATACGTTGTTGGGGAAGCTTACTCAGGATCTAATCCCGTTAAATTGAGGGCCAAACTTCATCAGCTTGAAGGTGGAATCGAAACATTGCGAGCTCGCCATGTTGGTCGTGGGAATGTTTGCAACGACATAACATGCTTGGTTGGGGCTGCACTGCTGATTTGCAGTTGCGGATCAAGGCCTAGAGCGCAAGCTGTCAGGGACGACAGTGCTTCCTTGCTTGGAACCTTGAGTCAAGCAGACCACCCACATCTTTGGCGTTTGGCTGAAGCTGGTCGTCTCTTTTGCCTTGTGATGTCTGCGAACGAAAGCCCCCAGAGTGTTATTGCCCGGCAGACGCACCAGGCTCTCACAAGCTTACAGGATGATGTGTCAGCCATGCAGAATGATCTCGGAGCTTACAGGATGATGTGTCAGCCATGCAGAATGATCTCGGGAGATTGATGAGGCATTTTGGTCTCAGCTGACCTCGGCAAGCATTGCCTGAGACCTGAACACACGACAGCTAGGTCTAGGAATTATTAGTTCTTGGAAGTTCCAATGACTATACTCCTAAGACGTTATGAAAGCCCGTCATCACTGTGGACTCACTAGCTAGTGACTGTACATCGTAGTTGATTCTAGGACCCCCACAGCCAATGGAGTTGATCAATCGAGGTCGGCCTGCGTGGCACGTGTTAAATCCCGCGATAAAAGCTTGCCAGAGGCCAGTCTGTAAAATTCTGTTAACACTCCCTATCGTTGCGTGATTAGAAGTATGCACTCGTTAGATAGTGATGAAGATGTATTTCTAATGCGGCAACGATAGGTTGTAATGAAGGTTGTTTTCGGACAGGCTTCTGCGAAGCAAATAATCGCTCATTTTTCAAATAACCCGGAACCTTAAAACGTCTTTTTGTCATGTGACAACGGTCAATTGTATCCAACCCTAGTTTCGATTTTGGATCCGTGATACATCTTATACCATGTGATACAGTAGAGAGGGTGTGCGATTTTTCTAAAGAGACGTAAACCATACGAGCCGACCGTTAATGCATCCTAAAGAGACAACCAACTGTTGGCTCTTGTTATCGACAGTCGATCCCATGAACCAATGGCTATGCCAATTGATGGAGTTTACCTCATTATTCGGCTTCCAGGAAAACAGAAAAGGTAAGCCGAAGCTATGCTGTTTTCTCCATTCGCTCTTGTTGTCTTCTTCTTGATCTAACTTGTTGTCCCCTTTTGTTGCATCCAAGATGATGAGTGCTTGCAGTTCAGGTAGCAGCGGCAGTGACCGGTCGTTGCGATCAAGGACGAAGACTGACTCACACGATGGACCCACTCCACTTGGGAAGAGCCTTCGAAACATCAAGTACTGTATTGACTTCCCTTTGCCCATTCAGCATACCTGTTCTGGTTGCAGCAACTACCTCGCAAGTTCAAGCGGCCTTACCGATCCGGCTGGTCTCGAACGTCATCTGTCCCATACCAGCAAGCAATACCAGTGCAAGCAACTGTGGCTGTCCTCTTCCGAAACGTCCGACCACTACCATGCATCCGCTTCCACGGTGGTCCAAGATTATGTTCGAAACAACTTCCTTGTTGGATTGATCGATACTTAGTAGATGCCACCCCCACTACCCATTCTTCTACCAAGCGGGCACTGGACACTGACGACAATGTCACACCTACGGACAGTACTGGCGAAGTGTGTACGGAAGACGTTCCTTCATCCAAGAAAGCCAAGTCGGATATCGCCCAACACCGGTACACTTTCTCCAGTCAAGGACAAGAGTTTACTGTCCGCATTCCCCTTTCCCATGAGATCGTGCACAAGAACCAAATCTCACAATGGAAGAACTCGGAAGAAAAGATCAAGGAAATGCAACGTGGCTTCAACAAAACCCGCTTTGACACCACCGCCGGATCGCATAAGATGAAAAGCATTTTGTCCATTGCACTGGCTAGCAACCGTCCCTTCCACTGTCCCAAGCGGCCATCATGATGCCTTGCTTTGTTGGTGCCTTCCTTGATGAATTCGGCGTCCTGGACAACGTTGATGTCACTCGATTCTCTAAGTCCTTCCCTTCAGAGTCCACGCTCCGAGATCTTCAATTCGATTGTCCGTGGAGAATACCATTGCCCTTGGCGAGCGCATCAAGAACAAGACTGTCTATTTGTCATGCACAAGGGAAACAAGAAGGGTGTCAGTCACTCGTGAAGATGTTCTTGGTTCGAAGTGGTGGCGTGGTTGTTCAATGTCTTGACATTGATGCAAGCGACGGACTGTCAGAGGATCATGCATTGGCACTGGTAGCATCATTCAAGAAAGTTGCTCTCAAGAGAGTACATGGATGCACTACTGACAGTGGAGGTGGTGGTACCACTGATGACTTGTACAAGAAGATGAAAGCGAAAGACTTGTGTTCCCCCATGAACTACCTTGTCTCTTATGCGCTATTCACAATCTTCAGTTGTCCCTCTCTGTTCCGGTCAAGGAGCTCATTGGGGAAGGTGGTTTGGACAAGAAGAACGCGATGCAGATGTTGCATTCCGTGTATGACTTGCAAGACAGTATGGATGCCGCGATGGGGAAGATGCATGTGGCTGAGGCTACTGTTTTTGTCCAAACCTACACGGACACCCCTTACATTGGTACTACAGTTGCGGACATACAGTTCCAGGAGAAGTGGGAAAAGGTGTTGCTGTTCTGTGACTTCGCTCCTCCTCAGAGAAGATGGCGAAGAAGTTCATCTTGATGATACCCAAACCAGTCATGACGCGATGGTGGACTGTTGGCGAAACTTCCCGTGTCACAATGGAGAACTATCTTGTTCTCTTCCGCATCAGTCAGCAGGCCATTAACTGTTCCTCTACCAGCGATGGCAAGTCCAACAAGATTGCGTCCGGTCTACAGGCGCTCATGTGTGAGCAGGAGGTATTCTCGGACATGACACTCATTGTTGACTTCCACGGCTCTTACTTGTGCCCTAACTTCAAGTGGTTACAGGTGTCCAAAGACTTGAGCGGCGTTGAAGGCTTCCAGACACACAGATGTTGGTCCGCTACTACATCATTGAGGAGGACTTGCTGCAACTGAAGAAGACATTGGAAGCGCCCTTACCAACGATGGATTTGCCTTGTTCCACCATGGCCTACAGAAGTGTCCAGCCCACCTTCGCCAGTACCAGAGCACCAAGGCACAACGTTTCGTTGACTTGGCATTAAGGTCTGTGCACAAACACTTTGTCCGATGGTCCAACCCATCTCTTCTTCCAGCCGGACTACTTGCAGAGCGGCCATTGGCAGAGGTTGTGGCAACTGTCATGTTGAAGAAGGAGGAATTCACTGTGTCCGGGATGTCATGGATGTACTCAGAAGTACATGAGCGGCACATCAAGCTATCACAGTTCTATGACTTTGTGAAAAGAGTGGTTGGAAACCAAGATGGGATTACTTATGCGCCTATGTCTACCTACATCGCGGAGATGATGATGTCCCCTGACCATGACATTGACTTGCGCGATGACCAAGAGCCCGACGCCTATTGTCTCTTCATGAAGAACACCTATCTACCGCTTGCATGCCATACACAGTTTGTTGAAGTTGGAGTCAAGGAGGCAAAGAATGTCTCCACTACTGACCGGTCGGAACAGTTGAGAAGCGCCTATGCCATCACAGAGCAGCCAACTACCTTCCCATCGGCAACTTGAAGACGATTGGAGCCACCAAGAAAACAGAAGAACTTCTTCGTGCTGCCAAGAAACATTCTGAGAGTGTTACGGAATTGCAGAAAAACCTGGGCCATGATGTCTACACGGCCCGTCAAACTGAACTCTCCTCTGTCATGCGCAACAAGCACTTCAAGCATGAGCGCATGAAGTCCTGCAAGAACAAGCCATGCCAAGATCAACAAGAACAAGAAGGAAAACAAGAAGCAAAGAGGTGGTGTGTGGTGCGAACTGCAAACATGATGGATCTTACTTTATATTCCTCTATGAGGAAGGACAAGCACATGATCCCTCTCAAGGAGGAGCTCTTGTTCCGCGGCTTCAAGGAAGAGGACATTGATGGGTGGAAGGTCAGGGAGCGCACCAAGAAGGTCAAAGAGCATGAATTGGAGAGAGTGGAAGAACTCAAAGCAACATGTCTGCTGCTCAAACCGGCTTCAAGATCCTTTCTGGTGCCATTTTCGACAATTCTAAGCAGGATCCCCTTTCATATGGGTAAGTGAAGGCATCCTTGTCGCAACAGCAACAAACGCATCACCAACACTCACGAAACTTGTTTTTGCTCATGGTCGGCACAAACTGTGTCAATATTTCTGATTTTCAAACTGGCTGCCATGTCCTCTCTGTTGCCATTTACCTCAATGTCTCACCAGGGTCACTCCGGCATACACTTTGTGGTCCTCTTTTGGCTTGTTCTCTATGGCGAGGAGCTTCCAATGTGTCCCAACAGGCAAAAGTCCGCTTTTGGGTGACACATGTGCTGCGCCACAACAGGCCAAAAATGGATTTTCACTTCTTCCTATTGCATATTCACTAAAACAAACCAGGTGCGCATGACCGCGACCATGGTGCGGAGTTACAAATACATGGTGGTCCTTATCAGTTTTAACACTCTACATAGCCAACTTCGCCATATTCTGTTGCTTTGTCATGGTCGGTCTTTTTTTTGTTGTCGGAATGGCGGCAGCCGTTGTTTTTCTGACATCCAGAAGTTTGTACCAGGCCTACGCGCGACGCGCCTAGAACGATCGTCACCCAGTGAAAATTGATGCAATCACGGGACTGTGGGGGTCCTAGATTCAACAACCATGATCATTTTCTACTAGCTAGCTAGCTAGAGTAGTAGTCCAGTACACCCCCAAACAGGAGGAAATTCTTCCGATTGATTAGCGGACTAACACGACGATGCCGACTCTAAGGCTCAGTCCCAACAACTTTTTGGCCACCACCGAATTCGGACTTTGGGAGGCCATTTCCATGAGGCCCCAAATGAATTCCCATTTTACGTCACCAACTACTGACTGGCTAAATCGGAGTTTGGGACTCCCACCACCGCCAAGTGCCAAGGGATTCCCAATGCGATCCAATTGCATGCCAACCTGCTTGCTTTCTTGTTGATTGTTGAATGTTTTGGTTGATTGTTGACTTCGCCAACCATGACACAAGAAGTAAAATTAGACAATGTTTATCTGTTCGGCTGTTATTCTCTTGACATTGGTCTTACCTTTTCTGTTGTCCACGGAATGGGTCATACTGATGTCTACCGCTCAGTCTGGAAGACAGTAGATGCGGTGAACAAATGCCCGCAGCTTGACCTCTCTTATCCATCCAGTCATGAAGAACAACAAACCATCGCCGACGGCTTCAACAAACTGAGCCGTGGAGTCTTCCACTGTTGTTCTGGCGCAGTGGATGGAATTCTCATCTGGACAGAAAGGCCAAGCGAAGAGAGTTGTGAGATGGCAGAGTGTGGTCCGAAGAAGTTTTTTTGTAGAAGGAAAAAGAAATATGGGCTCAACATGCAAGCCACATGCGATGCTCACCGACGGTTTCTTGACATCAATGTGTCTCATCCTGGATCAACCTCTGATTATCTCGCCTGGACGTCCTGCAAGCTGCACCACCAGATTGAAAAGGAAGGATTCATGAAAAAGGGACTGTGCATCTTTGGAGATAATGCATACGTGAATACCCCCACCATATGGCAAACTCCATACAAGGCCGTCGGAGATGGACCCAAAGATGCATACAACTACTTCCACTCCAACGTTAGGATCACAATCGAATGTGCTTTTGGCATGCTGGTGCGCCGCTGGGGGATATTGTTGCGAGCATTCCCTACCTCCATCACAATCGCCAAAGTGACAGCAGTTGTCCGCTGCCTCTGTCGCCTGCACAACTTTTGCATCAACGAGAGATTGGAGAGGGATCAGTTAGAAAATGATGGAACGCCAATTTCCCAAGTAGATTCTCCATCCCAAGAGGAACGTACCTTGGATATGGCCGAACGCCTCGCCAGCGATGACATGAACATTGTTGTGGGCGAGGGAGGCATACTGACTGAACCGGCGGCTGGTGATGAGGAGTACCGGCCTGAGGGACTGCTTCATGGTGGAGAACATTTCGATGACATAAGTTATTGGACTCGTGTCGGATCGAATCGCCATTTTTGTGAAGATCTTCCGCGTGAGAGGATGCTTGACACTGTCCAACGCCTTGGATTGCAGCGATCCACTCCCAGGAACTGGATCGGAAAGACACCTGCGCGCTCATACAAATCTTAGTTGCAGTAGATAAAACATTACTTAGCACATGATGGCAGATATATATTCTTTGAATGTAGCATTGGCCGGGCTCTCGCAAGATCTCTCCTCAACGACTCTCCAAATTGGATAGAGGAAAAACTGCGATTGATGGATTGGCGATGTTTGACGACAAGTTGGATGGTGCTTCTAAGTCTACAAATCTAAAAACCTAAATCCATGTATGTTTCCAAAACGTTTCAAACTATCGCAATTTATCACTCGCACAAATGCCGATTGAGTATCGACCTTACTTTGACAGCGGTGGCAGGCGCCAACAGTCGAATCTTGTAATGAGAGAAGCAATGGCTTACTCACTTCCATGTCAACAACAGCAAACACCACCTACTGCGCTTTTTCCTCCATCAACCATCACAATGACCATGGCCTCTAGTTGTTTTCATCGTCATCATCATCATCGTCCTCACTGTCGTCGGAGTCAAGTGCAGCTCTGGCTGCGGCACTAGCAACAACAGCCTTCTTCTTCTTCTTTGGAGGATTCAGCGATTCTTCGATGGCCAAACTGTTCAAGCATTCCTTAACAGCCTCAACTTGAGCTTCGAGATAACTGACTCTACCCATCCACAGATTGCTCAGTTCGATGCTGGTGACCTCCATGACTCTGAGTTGAGCCTCGAAAAGCTTTTCCTGCGTCTCACGGAGTTCCTTGAAAATGGCAGCGCGGGACATTGTGTGCATAGCAAGACTCATCTTTGCGCGGAAGAATCCAAGTGCCCTCTCATCGGTCCTCCTTTTGCGTGCAGCACTAGCCTGGTCAGTTCCAGCAACAGAAGAGCAAGCTTCAGAAGATGCGGCTGCCGATTCAGCGATGACACACATCACATTCTTCAGGACTTCCTGCTCATCTGACACATGCCAAAGATAAAGCACGTGTTCCTTGGTCTGCGTGTCCAAGAAGTTGGCTCTGTTGTCACCGCACTCCATCTCCTCTTCTCCACAATGACCAAACAGATCATCTCCTTCATGGCGTTGACCGAATCCGTTTCCACTGAGTTCCCACTTGGCGATTATCTTGATCAGTTTGGCTCGGCAGTCACCCCAACGGCGCTTCACTTCATCAGCCGTCACAGGTCCCGGCATGTTCTCAAAACAACAGTCAAGCACGTCAGCGAAGGTGGTATGTAAGTCAGGCAAGCACTGAGAGAACACATCCTTGTGTGCATCATTGAACAGACGGGCACAAGCCTCAAAGACTGTCCTCTCAGGCCTGTTAGCAGAATTGCGAGCGTCTAACTCATCTCTATCTCCTACACGTTGCATCTCCAGGAACAGAGGCCTGATCTCATCGCTCAACATGCACTCGATGAGACGAATGTATGGTTCCACGGAGATCCAGGCGGCAGCTTTGTCCTTCTTATCTCCCTGCTTTTCAAGATTCACTTTGTTGATCAAATCAAAGAGCTTCTTTTCTTCGCAGACAATGAAGGCGCAATCAGTTGGATTCGAGATTGGGTGACTCTGCAACCAAAAGAACACACTTCTTCCTTTCCCAATAGACACATTTGGGCTCTGCAATACCATCACAGTAGCTGCGGCGTTTGATTTCCTCCACCATATGTCTCTGGGTTGGTGTTACCTTTTTCTTCAACTTCATGGAACGGTATGGCTCAAGTTCAACGTTGCCAATCTCACGTAAGTCAGACGTCTTCAGACCAATTCCCATTGACATCAGTTCTGCGTTATTCTCACCACTGCACTTGTAATACCTCTCAGCTGGACCAACAATTTCGGCCGATGGATGCACTGCTCCTAATTCAGCGAAAGGAATATCCGAAAAGGCACGCGGCATGGCAGGGGAATCTTCAACTGGAGGCGCCATGGTACTACTATCTTCAACAAATGTCGAGCTTTCTAACAATGATGCTTCTCTCTCTCTTCTCAACACAGCACCGAAACCTACTGAGCTAAACTGGTGCACAAGCCGCTTCGGTTTAAGACCAAAGCGGTAGGGGTAGGTGGCTGGCTTTGTTCGGACCATGCCTTAAGGTATTGGTTGTTGTATTGGTTGTGGTTGCAATGCCATTGTGGTACCATGGTCGGCTAACGTTGTCATTGTGTCATTGTGTCTTTGCCGCCTATTTTGGTACTTTTCTTCCAGAAGGTTCCCAGAAAGGATCCAAAGTTGGGTTTGGCTGGGCCAATCAGATGCACTCTCTCTCAAAGAGCCGAATTCGGCCACCTGCAAACCAAGAAAAAAGTTTTTTGCAGGAAGACGAATTCGGTTGGCCTGCAAAAGCCTCTTTTGGGCGACCCTCTGGACACGTAAGTGCCAAAAAAGCCCCAATTTCCGAATCCACCTTGCATTCAAAGTTGTTGAAACTGAGCCTAACAGGCGATGGACGCTCAGGTGGAATTATCCATTTCGACAGACCATTCGATAACTTCGAATAATCGAAATAAAATAATATTTAATTTGACAACGGATGAGTGACTCAGTCTACGTCGTCCGTACACTATCTTAGAAAATTCCATCAAAAGCAACTACCTCTACCTCCGTCCTCCCTCCACAACTACCCTCAGAATCGAATAGTTTAAGGACAATCAACTTCACCACTTGGGAATCGTCTCGGTACACCAGCTTGTTCATGGCATCCAATGTAAACTTCGCCAAATTGTCAATGTCAGGAGCCATGACATGAACCAAAGGCATCTGAGCCTTAAGCTCGTTGGAGCTGTTATTACCTTTGAAATGGGTGTTTGCCCTTGCTTCCGGGTGTGTAGAAAAACCCATTCCTACCAAACCTTGGACGCGCCTTACTTTTTCAAGGGAAGCCGAAAACCGAAGCGCTTCCCCTCTGGATCTGTCACTACAAGAACAACAACACTAATAGCAACACAACCAATCGGTCATACCTATACCTATACCATTACACTACCTATTAGCACCATTAGAAGCATTGAAACGAAGCGAAAGGACCTCAGGAAGCTTGTTATCTGTTATTTCGTTGAAGAGTACTGTTTTACTATAGGAATCCACTCAACGTCATCACGGAAAACATAACATCCTTTTCCTCTCTTTACAACCTCTTCAAGCCGAAACGGATCGATACCTCCCATCTCCTATCAAGCGCACCTCTCCTATCAAGCGACTATCAAAGCGGCCTTCCCCGGTTAGATTAGAAAGCCATCCCAATTGAAATCCTACGAGATCGGGCGGTTTTCTATTCTCGACCGCGCTACGGCCAAGTTGGAAGAATTTGAACACCAGAAGAAGTCACCGGTCTTCCCCAGCACAGCACAGAAAAAAATTCCCCATATCTATTTGGTTGTTTTCTCAGCTACGCTCCTGCGGCCATCGATCCCATTGTCGGCCGATCCTCTTCTTCGATCGAACGACCTCCGCAACAACAAACAGGCTCGGTTAACCTACCCTAGCCTACTCTATCGAACTCCATAAGGCACTGACTCATTCGAATCTTCAATCGCGAATTCGAATCGATCTTATCGAATCGATCCTCGAATCCAAGACTCCACCTCCGTGAATCGATCGATCTTCCCGCGACCGTACCTCTTCCCGTACCTCTTCCTCCGTCACGAACACAGCCTCTATCATCAAGAAGACTTCACGACATACCTGCAGTGACCACCAAGAAGAGAATTACACCTGTATTCTTACTTTCTCAACGGCCACTGTGGTTTCTCCCGACGTCCTTGTTGGAACTGATCCTACTGATCCACCAGTCCTATCCCTATAAGACTGATTGACTGATCGCACCTGCTACTGTTACCACTCCTCCATTGTAATCTCCTCCCAAAAGGAACAACAAAACAACAACAGATTCTGTAAGGATGAGTTCTTGTATCTCGGCTTGGTGCATTTGATGTTTCGAGCCCCTCCCTGGGATACCAGCTCCTCTCCAAAGGATCTCACCCCCACAAGACAACTACAAAAGCTGCCCCTCTAGCGTGTTTGCTAGTATTTGTGCAACACTCCTATGTGAACCAGCCACCTCTCTGCTACTGCACCTGACTCTCCTACTGAACTTAAGGAACTCCAAAGGATTGAGCCCAGGACAGAACTGCAGCGTGTGTGTGCATAGATATTAAAACATAACTGACTCTTCTCTCCCTCATTGATTGTTGAGTGACTCTCCAGTGACTTTCCACAGTTCCACCTGAATCGGTACCCTCTCCACATCTTGGCTTGACTCTCTGTTGCATTGTCATCCCTTGCAACAGATTGAGTACCAGCCTCTGAGACAACACAGTGTCATCCATCAGTAACACAGCCCCATCAACCAACAACACCCCTTGATACCCCCACCACTGCTCTACTGGCATATGCGTGACTTCTCCAGTTTTCCTGAAAGAATCCCTAACAGCCTTTGGCTCTATACCATCTTCTCCTCAGGTAGTGGTATACCTGCACAGACTTGGCCACAGCTTTGATCCACGGCAACAACAACCAACAACTTGATATAAACCTTGATTACCAGTGCCTCAGTGCATTGCCCCTTGAATACACCCTTCTACATCATCAATCTGCCCACTCACAAGCAACCTCCATTGCTTGAGTTGAAGCAACGACACTACAGTCAATACTCCAGGATTCACAACCCTCCCACCAACCCATACACCCCACCATGACTTCCCCCTGTCTACCCACTACTCCACTCAAACCAAGTCCTCCCAGACATCCCCCCATCCCACACTTCACCAACCAACCACATCCACAATCCTCCGCAGACTACACAACACCACTCCCGATGATCAGCCAACAGCTCCTTAGAGATGCAGCCATCTTGAGGATCACACCCTTCCGAATTCCACCCTACCCTATCAGGGAGGATGCCTTTGTTCTCACCCTTGAACAGAGGCACGCCTCTATCCTACAACACACCATCAACCATGCTACATCCCAACTTCCTACAACAACACTCCAACCCCAACAGGATCCCCCTCCTGCCCCTGCCCAGCCCACCTCCAGTGCCCCCTATCCTCCCTTCTATTGACTCAACAACCCCCCGAACAGCCCACAACACTCCAGCAGCCACTGTGCCTCCCTCCTTGGGAACCACACACTGCCAGTGTGTCATTTGACCCCATCTTCTGCCTGCTTGTTGGCCTCTATCTTACAATTTTTGCATTGGATGGTTACACCCTGCTCTGGTCCAGCCTGAGGAGTACCACTCCTACGGGCTCTGCTGGCATTTTGCCTTGCATGCCAAGGCCCTTGCCACAGCTGGGACCTGATCACCCAGACACACTTACTGGCGAGCACTCTTTGGTTCTGGCAATCTAACTGGTCCTCACGTCCCTTTGGTGATAATGTTCAATACCGACAAAAATCCTGTGTAAGCCCTGTAACCCAGGTTTTCGCTGCAGGTTCCCTATCAATGTGCTCACCCCCTACCCAGGGCATCTGTCTACTTGGTGCTGGCTCCACGTTGGCCAGTGTGATGAGGCCATGTTGATTGGGCAAATAAGTAGATGACGACTCAGCTAGGTGGGGGCTTCCCCACCAATTGCCCGCGTCACAAAAGCCACTCCGTGGCCATAGTTTGTTAAACTAACGAGTATTTTACACCCTGAAACCTTGGACGCGCCTTTGGTTTAGGAATCCCCTCTAACTCTAACTTGTACCTCACATCAACGGAGACAGATCCCCCACTAACATCAACAACCTCGAAAGCCCTTGACAATACACTCATGTTGCCATTTTTGTGGAGTGTTGCACATGGCAAAGTTTACAGCGTCCGACGTCCATGTTCACACTGGTAAGCACTTCAAAAAAACACGACTAAATTGTGAGTCGATGGTGTCTCTGTAATTAGACAGTTTAGAAACACAAATTGTCAGTTAGATTTGGTTAAATAATACCCCACCAAGGTTAGAGATATGAATATGGCGGTGGTGCAGACTTGGGGTCCCCTTCCCACAACTGTTGCAGAGTCGAACTCCCACATCCCCTCCATAGGATGATTGCGGTTTCTGTTACTGAATTCCTCGACAGCAAGCCTCCGAACTCCGAGTGCCAGTCAGGCGCTGATCAAAGGCTGGCTGGATCATTCATGAGGGGCGCCCCTGACCGATCTCTCCTCTCTGTCCAACTGAGGTACCACACCCAAGATGGAGGAACTACAGAGAGCCTACCACTCAGGACCTACGGTAGCTACTCTCTGGGTCCAATACCGGTACCAGGACCAACACCCTTCTCTACTATCTACTACTAGCGGGAGCCAAACCAGAACCCACGCTGCCACCACTTCCGACTTCTGAGCTCCTTCCGGCCTACAACTTAAAAACTCAAGGAGCAACCCCCGGCCCATGAATCCAATCCCGGCCCGACCCCAGCTCACCACCAAGTTCGGTCCCAAACCAATACCTCTAGCTGTAGTCCCAGAACTGGACTCACTCTTAGCAGGCCAACTCCAGGATCAATGCCTGCTGTGCTTCTGCCTGCACCCGCCAACTCCAGGACCCGCACCTGCATTAGCTGCAGGACCCACCCTGAATACACCAATTCCAGACCCGTCTTCAAGACCAACACATGTTTCCACGCCATGCCGCACACCTGTGCAATACACGGCTCTTAGCCTTATTCGCGACTCGATCCTAGATAGGGTTTGAGTTCGACTCATGACTGAGTCTTTCGAAAAGAGAGAGATAGCGTGGAATCCCATGACAACCAATGTCAATGACTTCGTCATGGTCAACGTTTGGTTGGGTCAAACAGGTGGTAGCGAGGAAGTCCATCGGTGTTCATCCGACTGAGTGTGTTGACATAAGCCCGAGTAGACATATCAGCAGCCTTACGCATCTTCATGCCGGCGCAATGAAGCGTTTCGCTTTTCAGAGCCTTGTAGGGACAGACCGCTT